GGCTAATAAAGTCTTTTTGAGAAGAATGTCTCCATGCGTTTGATGGAGTCCCCAGTTACAGAATGTCTACTTACATCAGGTATACTTCAAGACCCTGTACCCACTGACCAAGCAGGGCTAGTAGCCATCCTTGACTCTTGGTTTCTAGTCTCAGATGTTGTGTGTCAGAGGTCAATGCTGGGTGTCCTCCTCCATCACTCCGCCTCATTTTATGTGTATGTGTCAGTGCCCGAGTGCACGCCTGTGCGTCACGCATGTGCAGCCGCTAGTGGGGGATGTTTGACCCCCAGGCATTAGAGTTACGGGTGGTGGTGAGCGGTCTGATTTTGGTGCCCTGGACCCACACCCAAGTGTTCTGCAAAAGCAGCAAGTGCACTTAACTGCTGAGCCATCTATCTAGCCCCAATCTTAGGTTTTTAAGACAGGGTCTCTCACTGTGCCTGTAACCCACTACTGGTTGCTGGCTGGCTATCCAGAAACCTGTAGGGCAGCAGTTCTCAGCCTTCCTAATGCTGCAGCCCTTTAATACAGGCCTTCATGTTGTAGTGACCCCCCCCCAAGGCAAAATTATTTCTTTGCTGCTTCATAGCTGTGATTTTGCTACTGTTCTGAATCACAATCTAAACATCTGATAGGCAACCCAAGCCACTAGTTGAGAACCACTGCTCTAAGATCTGCCAGTCCGCATCGTGCTCTCAGAGCCGGGTTACAGATGTGTTTGCACTGTAGACTTTGAATGCTTAACTAGCACGCAGTTTACTTACAGGGCCCTGGTCCCTCCTTTTCCTATGCCAGCCCGCACCGTCGCTGGCTCCAGGCTGTCTGCGGTCCTTCAGCTCTGTAGTCTGTACCCCTGCACTGGCCCTTCTTTTCCAGCTGGTGTCTTTTACTCCTCGCACATACTGTCTGCCCCACGGGACCGTGGTGTTGAAGATCATGTCTTAATTTGTTTTTGTATTCTCGGATCCGTGTCTTGAATATTGTGTAGGCTCAGTAAATATATGTCACCAGGAACTGATTTAGTTTTCTTTCCTAGACATTTGTCTAGAGCGGAAAACAGTTTCCAGGCAGAGGCTTCAACTGTCCAAGCACAGGACGTTTTCCCCTCGTGTTTTTCCTCCTCCTCCTCTCAATATTCTGCTAGATTTTTGGCTATAGCTAATCACTGAGTTGGTTTAAATGGCCCCAGAACCTTTCCCTGCACTTTAACAGAGAACTCGGAGCTCATTCTAGAAAGAGCATAATTTGTATCATTAACGCTTAAATTGCTACAGTTGCTGCCCACATTGGAGATTGGTAGCTTGCTAGGAACATAAGCAAAGCCCACTTTGGAACAGTTTTCCTGTGTAACCCGCCCCCATCTCATCGGCTCTGAAATTATACATTTATAAATTATCTAATTGCTGTGTATGAGGGCCTGGAAGCACCATGGCAACACATGTAATTGCTAATGATATGCAACTGTGAATTAAAAATGGCCTCTACCCAAATACACTAAAAAGCCATGTCTAACGACTCCATGTCGGCCTTTCGCCAATGGTAGTTTCCTCTTTCTCCTCTTACAAATCTTGCTTGCTTGCTTGTATGCCATCGCTTTTATAAGTATGCCTTCACGTCCTCTGAGGGACCCTGTGGTTCAGAGTCAAGAAATGCACACAGCACTGAGGGGAGCCAAGGACACCCTGTCCAAGTCACTCTGCCCCATGATGGCAGCTAGCTAAGGGCAGCTAACAGTAGCCTGTTTCAGGGTTGAAGGAGTAAGGTCCAATCTGTGTCCTGCTTTGACTAAACTGTATCCAGGGTCACCTTAGACCTTCTGTCCAGGACGTGTGATTAGTTGCCAGCCAGGGGGCTTTCTGGCTGTTGATTAAGTTGGAGCTAGGAATCTTATTTTTTTCATTTTTCTTTCTTTCTTGCTTGCTGATGGAAAGTCTAAATATATCATTTTGACTGTACTGTGATTCATAAAATGACAGCCGACTGGGGTGAACAAACCGTAATAGCCTCATTTCTCATCTTCCTTGTTTGTGGCAGATGGACTTCCTGATGTTAGAGGCTTGAGGGCAGTGAGTGAGGGGGGGACAGCAGGCTTTGGACAGCACCGACCCAGCCACATCAGCCACGTGTGCCAGTGTGCCAGCTCTTCTCCCAGTGCCGCTCAACGTGGATTCTGAGACCTGGGTTGGCAGTTACCTACTGAGAAGGGGATTCACAATGGCCAAAAGCAGATGCTGGCACATCTGGGGTGAACTGGGGGTTGATGATAAGAAATACTGGAATTCTCATTAGACCCGGGTGGGAATCAAAGACGAGAGGGAAGCTAATGCCAGCACACGCTTTTCACTGTGCAGTTAGTGTTCAATGACAGCACATCCTCTCTCTCAGCTAGACTTGACTTCACAATGCAGTCCAAGCAGGCCTTGAATTTGTGGTTCTCCTGCTTTAGTCTCCTGAATGCTGGGACTACCAGTCTGTGCCACCAAATCTTCACCCCTCCCTCCTCCCTCTCCCCCTGATTTTTTATTTTTATTTTTTGCCCCCTCTTCATAATAGCCCACAATACTGGCTGACCAAAAGAAACCGTTACAAGATACTCTTGCTGCCAGTACTGCCTGCTTCAGGAAAGCTACGAATATCAAAACAACAAGGGGGTGGGGGGAGAGAAAGACTGCAACTTTTCAGATATAGAGGATATTTTATTCATGTATATATAAAACTATACTTCAGAATTCTCCTTTTCTAAGAACAGTCTTTTAACTGTAATCCTCCAAATGAAAAGGCTCTGAGAGGGAGCGAACAACACTTTATCCTGTATATACAGTTAAACAATTTCTGAGTGGTGGTGATTGTGCGTGCTGGGGACCGAGCCCAGAGCTTCGCACTCACCCACCTGCCCAGGCTCTGGTAAATAGTTTTCTTTTTTTTTTTTTTTTAAGCTGTAAAAAAAAAAAAAAAAAAAAAAATCAAAGCCAAAACAACAACAAAATAAAACCAAACAATAACAAAAAACCCCAAACAAACCCAAGCACATGAATAGCTCTTCCACAGCAGCATCAGAAGTCAGGTGAACTAACCCCCGAGACAGGAGGATGGACCCTGCTGATGCTTCGGGAATACCCCCCTCAGTGTTCACGCCTCCTTTTAGGCATGATGCACTGGAGGGGCTTTTCTAGAAATACCCGTAACACCATGGAAGAGTGGAAGTGGGCAGGAGCCTCAGGGTTAAGAGCTACACCCTACCGTCATGCGTTTTGGAACAGCCTCCATGTTACTCGCCTTCGTAAAACCCAAAAAGTGACATGTAACATCGAATCCTTTATGTAACTGAAACATGTAAGGCCATTCCACACATCTCGGTCTCACCCCTAACAACGGGTCATTAACTACTCAAGTAATACATGTGTGGCTACCTCGAAACAAACGGATAAACTATGCAGACTATGCCCCTCGCCCCACCAGCAGGGCTCCATTTTCTGTGCTGAGGCTAATCTCAAAGTCTTACCATGGTTGGGCCACCCTTTCTCCTGTTTATTCCCCCACCCTGTTTCCCAAGCTACCAAAACCAACGACTCCACCATCTGCTCACCAGCAATGCGCTTACTGTTTGAGGCTTGTGATCTACCCTGGCTGAGATGTCAGACCTGGACAAGGCCATCCTGTTAACTGGAAGGCTGACGCCAGTGGTGACATCCGGTCGGTCCTCTCCAGAGTCTGCACCTAGCCCTGCTCTTTTCATCTTCGTTTCTGCACTGCAGAAGGCATCATGTAAAATGTGGCCGAGAAATGTAGGCTGCTGTTATCAGAAAATGGTGACAGATGGGGGAGTGGATTCCAACAGGCCTTCTGCTGCTTGGAAGACAGGGAATGACAGGAGGAACACCTTCTTGTAATTAGAACTACCTAATTTTGTTACTGTCAATGTTAACTTGAAACTTGTGTCTCCACGTGGCTAAACCCCCACCGGGAGTGGCTTACACTTTGTTGCAGTTATCTGAGTGACAGAAAGAGCAGTGGCTCCAGGGCGCCAGGGAGGTAGCAGCGTGGTGGTCTGTCCCTTATCTGAGGTTAGAGGAAACCGTGACCCCAGGAGCACTCGTGGACAGTCCTATCCCCTTCCACTGAGAAAGCAAGGCCACTGTTCAGAAGTAATTTTACTTTTGAGATTTATTGTTAAAGTTAGGCATCTGAGTGTGGATTTGTGTACATTGAGCACAGCTGCCTACGGAGGCCCAAAGAGAGAATGAGATCCCTGAAGCTGGAGTCAAAGGAACTGTGGACAGGGTGGGCGCTGGAACTCATCTCAGATATCCGAGAGAGCAGCTAGTGCCTTTATCTTTGGAGCCATCTCTCCAGACCATCACCTCCTTTTAAAAGATTTACTTTTTACTATTTTTACTTTGAAAAGTACCAAATTTGACAAAATATGTTAAGTTTTCTCATAGCTAAAAAACACTTTTTTCCTCTTATGGGGGTGGGAATCACAAAATGAAAAGGACAGAATAAATACTCTTTTTTTTCTTGGATTTTTGAGACAGGGTCTCTCTCCGTAGCCCTGGCTGTCCTGGAACTTGCTCTGTAGACCATGCTGGCCTTGAGCTCATAGAGATCTGTCTACCTCTGCCTCCAAAGTGCTGAGATTAAAGGCATGCACCACCAAGCCCAGCCAGAATTAATGTTCTTGTATAAAGTTTTGTGTGCAGAAACTCACTCATTTTAGTCAAAGGGTAGATTTGTCTAATTCTAGACAAGAAACCTCTTCAATTTACTCAAAATAATTCAGGTTTTTAAAAGCTACAGTCCTAGAATAGACTGTTTATACCAGTACAAAAAGTGTAACACTACTAAGAAATACTTTATATTGTAATATGAGCAGTTTGTACAAGTTTTATAAAGTTCACATGAACTGAGAATCAGAATGTTTTCCCATTAAAACTCTCTGCTTCATGAGAACTAGAATAAAGAGTTAGCAGAACAAGAAAATCTGCAGGAAATACACAGAATTTAAATTCAGGTTTTATCTCCTCATTTAGGAACTTTTAACAGCGTAAGAGGAATTGTTTACAGCATTAAACATGTAATGTTCCCTCGAGTGTGATCGTTGAGTCCAGATTTTCCACCTCCAGTGATTATTTGGTTATTTTAGAAAGCCGCACAGAATTAATGTTCCAGAACACCAGCTACAAAGTGCTACATGCATATATGAATCAGACGAGCCCATGTCAAATTCCAGGATGCAGCCAGCTGGAGACCATGAAGGCAGAGTTACATAGACGTCCCACAGATGATAACAGATGTAACAACGTTCAGACTGCCTCTCCTACAAATACTTACTATTAAGGTTTAAAAATTCACAAGAATATTTCCTTAATATGAGATAATCCAAACAGCCTTCTTTACCTTAAAACCAATAAAAACAACTTAGCCAACAGTGAACAAAAAGTTCCAAGCATAAAAACATGCAGAAGGAGGAAGGACAAAACTCCATGTTTTGTATTTTCTAGCAGGTGTGCATTCTGGAGGACGAACTGCGCAATTTAAAATTCATAGATTTGCAAGGGCCCCACACAATGACTCTGAAGCAGATTACATATATTTGGGGAAAAAGGTCCAGGCTGTGGTAGAGACTCAGCTTACAGTCCCACCCAAAACTAAGAAGAAACTTGTTAGCCACCACAAAAAATTAGGGACTGGGGTGTTGTGGGGATGGTCTCTTAGTTATATGAAGAAAAACCAAGAACCCCCAGAATATTCTATTCTATATAAGAAACATTGATTGCCTGTTCCCATATTCCTTTAAAAAGAGACACAGACCAGGGTAAATTTGTATGTTTCAAAGATCATTGTCTAACAAATAATGGCGGACCGACAGACCTCATGTAGGGAAACCCCTCTGAGGTAACAATTCAGTAAGCTAAAAAACACTTTAAAGTTTATATTGACTTTAAAATCCATCTGAATACCAGTGTCCATTTCCCAGTGCTACAAATCATGAGGAACTTAATTTAAGAAGCACCCTCGGCTCCCACACGTTCCCTTAACCAACATCACAGACTCTCGGATGGGACTATGGCTAGCTGACGTAGTAGCTGTAGCTCAACTCAGAGAGGCCTTCTGAAGCAACGAATCTTCCCTAATTGTAATCTTGTTCAAAGAGCTGGGCCTGGGCGTGCTGGCACTCAATCCCAGCACTTGGGAGACAGAGGCAGGTGGACCCTGCTGCTACACACAGTAAGTTCTAGGCCAGCCAAGGTTACACAGTGAGACCCCCCCCCAAAAAAAAAAAACAAAAAACAAAAAAAAAAAAAACAAGCAAGTGAACAAACAAAACAAACCCCCGCCCTTTTTTTCTAAAGAGCACATGACCCTCAAGCCGTATGTCCTACTCTCATGCGCCATTCCTCTTCACCGGAACCCTTAGCTTTTCTAATAAGCAATGCCCTTATTTGGCTATTGTGAAGATAAAGCTATTTGTTCCGTAAACCACACCCCCAACTTTTCAACAGTCACATTTATAAAAATGCAGACTCTGCATCTACTTTATTACAAAAGGAAATATATTTGTGCACATAATTACTATAGACACAGGGATCTTCTGAGGGGCTCAGACTCAGCAGTCTGAGTGCACCTCACTGAAGCACACTTACTTATAAAAACATGTTGCCTTTGCCGTGTGAAAAGCGGGTATTTAGTTCCCTGGATTTCTTTATGAGGGCTTTTTTCTGAGCTTCATCAAACCGATTAACCTTGAGGTCTTTATCACGGTCAAATGGTATTCTCTCTTGGTGCTTGTTTCTATCTTCAGCAGCCTTATTCTTTAACTTTTTATGATGAATGTCCATGAGGGATTCTGATCTTTTTGATTCCTGTGGAAAGTAAGGAGAACAGAAATAGCAACCTGAGCTCACATAGGTTACAAAGAGTCTATAGCCACGAAGCAGACTGGACCAGGGCATGTTATTAAGAGATATTTGCAAACCCTGATGAGGGTTTCTGGATCCAAGATGGCATCTATGAAGAAAATGGACACGGGTGGCAAATATGATTCAGATTTTGCTAACTCCGTGCAGCAAAAGAGTAAGAAAGGAAGGGCGTGCAGTCGTTATGGTTACAGAAATCCTAACAAGAATATAAACCAAGAGACGGACAGTTTTATTCCCACCTCACAGATGAACTGGTCCCTGAAGCCATTCGGGTAGAAGGAGGTGAAGGTGCTGACAGGTGGAAGCCAAAACAGAGGGAAAGATGAAAATAAGGAGCGTCCCAACTCCAGGCTTGTGCAACGGCGCAGGCCAGAGCGGAAAGGCGTTATCACCCACTGTTCTGCTGGTACTCTTTCCCCGAACCTCCCTCACTTTCCATCTCCTCTAAGCTTGTGTGGGTGCTCAATTTCCAGGTCTAAATAGGTACCATTTTCAGACAAGGTCTGTGCAAGGGCAACTGATTTAATAAGTTTAGGGCTTTGCTGTGGACCTGAGCAGACGAGCCGGGGATGCAAGGATTAGCATGGGCGCCTCAAAGCTGGGTGGATGTGCACACACCCAGGGCTGCAGAGAATGGCTTCCATGACAGGGACAGTGTGAGCCATTTTCAGGCATTTACCATGACTGTCCTTTACTTAAGTCTTTAAAAAAAAAAAAAAGTGCATGTGTGTGATCTTGCATGAGTTTCTTTGCACCACACCTGTGCAAGAGCCCAGAGAGGCCAGAAGAGGGATTGGTGTCCCAGAACTGGAGTTACAGGCAGTTGTAAGGTACCCCGGGGTGCTGGAAACTGAGCTCAGGTTCTCTGCAAGAGTAGTAAGCACTCTCAACTACTGAGCTGGCTCTCCAGCCCCTCATGTCGTCTTTCTCAACACTGACTTTTCCTGTAAGTCATCTGTAAAGGCTTTCTTTACGGCTATGGATTTCAAAGATAAGATGGCTACCTTACATCACAATCAATATTCGGTGGTAAGAGCTTGTTTTTGTCATTCCTATTCTTTTCATTTAGAAGCAGAGTGCAGTTGATTTTAAGTAATCAGAGAGAGAGAGAAAAATAGGACAAAAACGCAGAAAACCAGCAAACTCTGGAGGACAAGTCAGAAGGCAGCCTGGACTATGTAGTGAAATCCCAGTACAAAACAAAATGGAAAAGAGAGGAAGAGAGAGAAGGAGAAAGAGATTATTTATAGCTTTATGTATTTTCTTTTCTTACTTACATTGTATGAAGACACTTGCTCAGCCAGTCTCTTATCCCTTTCTGACAGTCTGTTCTCTTCATCTTTCTTACTGAATGACTTCCTTGCTTCTTGTATTTCCTGAAGAATGAACAAAATAACATCATTTAAAAATAGAATTTAAAAGAAATACTATTAATTTTACTTAGATTAAATGACAAAATACTGCACTAAAGCCAGGGTGGTTAAATTCCTCCCAGTCAGAACTGCTACACACTTGAGAAGGGATCAGTTAGCGCAGGAGCGTGTGACGTCCTGAGAAAGAGAGAACAGTGCGGTCCAAGCTAAACCCCTCTTCAATCATCCAACTGGAAGAAACTCACGATGAGTCTGGACTAACAATGACAAAATGTTGGAAAATAGCACATGAGAAATCTTCCACTGTTTTCAAAAATAGTAAAAATAAAAAGTATATACATATTGACAAAAACGGAGGGGGGAAAGAAGAGAGAGAAAGAATAAGAAAATGACATTATCATCATTCAACGATGGTATGAGTGGTCTATGTAGAAAACCCATGAAACCTACCAACACACTAGAGCTAACACAAGCTGGGAGAGCAAAGGCGTGTGCCACAAAGTCAGAGGACGGACCACAGCAGAAACACACGCACATGCACACATACACTCGTTACAGTGCCCTGTGGGACCCTGTAATTAGAGAAGGGTTACAGCGATACTCTAGAGAACACCAGAGTGAGGAAGCTACACAAGCGTGACTGTACAGCATTTTGAAGGCATATTTCAAAATTGCTTTTGCTTAGGAAAACCTCATATACTTTCCAGCATCCTCATGGAGGAGGCTCACAGCTGTCTGTAACGCTAGTCTCAGGGAGATCTAACAACCTCTTCCGGCCTCAGTGGGTGTCATGCGTGCATGTGGTGCACAGACACACAAGCAGGCAAAATCCTTGTACATTAAGAAATAAAATAAAATAAAAACTTTAAAAAGCAGCTAAGAGAAGTGGACAGTTCACGCCTGTAATCCCAGCCCTGGGAAACTAAGGCAGGAGACTGTTGAGTTAGAGGTTATTGAGCTATAGTAAAACTTTGTCTCAACAAAACCACGACAGGCATCCCAGAACTACTAGCTTCTGGACTATTTAGACCTGGCATCATGTATTGTTTTTTTACTTCTATGCATACTGGATCGCCTCACCTATTCCCATACTTAAATTTCTTTTAATCTCTGGGACCACCGAGGAGTTATGAGGTTGTAAAGTCTATCAGGAAGGATGCCAAAATGTGGAGAACTCAACACAACACCCACCCTTTGACACCTCTTTTTAAAAAATATCATTTACATTTTGAGGGGGCAAACATATGCCATGGCGTGCACATGGAGGTCGGGACAGCATGAGAGTCATCTCTCCTTCCTCCAAGTGGGTCCTGGGGACTGAACCTAGGCTATCATGCCTGGGAGAAAGCACCTTTACCCACTGGGCCAGCCCACTGCTCCCCACCTTACCACTTCTAACTCAGAACCAACTCTCCACAAAACGAAAGCTCAGACAGCTTTCATCTTATCTTTTTCTTTCTATCACCTGCAACCAAACGCAAGAATTCAACTCATAGCTTCATGTGGCAAATGGAAATCCTTAGGTGCAAGCGCTGCTGAGCAAGAGAGAATAAATCAAATGTTGAGCTTTTTAGATCAGAACTGATAAAGCTATCATCACAAGGTGACAAACACTTTATAGCAATTTAGACCAGTTAGATGGAGTAAGTTTAACGAGTAGTGCCAGGGACACTGGTTCAGTTTCTAACACCCAACAGACTGCTTCTTAGTAAACAAAAATGTAAAAGCTAATACACTTTATGTACACAGCCTTTTGTACCTTTGTAATCTGTTTAACACAGCAGTGGAGACACTTTTGCCACGCTGGCAGTACCCACGTGTGTACACCTGCTCCAGTATTCTGAGAGGTTATCTATGGGTCACTTCATTTGCTAGGTTAGCCTGCAAGGTTAGTTTTCTTTCAAAGAAATTTACCATTTCATGTATAGTAGAATGGTATATAGAATAGTATATCAGTTCATATATGGTATAAAGACCAGGGGGTTTGGAGTTAGAAGTTTAAAAATGATTTTTTTCTGGTGGTCATTTCCTAGCTCTGTGACAGCCTGTGAAGGGTGTCCTCAGGAAGGGGGGTTTCCTGTCCATAAAATAAGGGTGCGTAACCCAGTCTTGGAGCTTCACTTAGTTTTTAAGAATGGCGGCAGGATGGAAGATGGAATCAAGGACTGTGACTATTGTGCAGAGGATGATCATACGTTTCTTTCAGAATCACAATCTCAAAAAGTAGTGCTGCGGGGGCTAGCACTGCACAGGAAGTTAGGGAGCACGGACCCAGGGGAAAGACTGCAACTGGCTCGGAGAGGCGGCGGTGGGAGGATTGCGGACTCAAAGGAAGGTTCGGGTGACATGAGTGAGGCAACAACACTAGGAATGAGAAACAGAGAAGAGGAGCTCGAGGCAGGGTGGGAGGGAGCAAGCAGACCAGACAAAGGAGAGAGCAGGGCGTGGACCAGCACCAGCCAACTGGCTGTCCCGGCTCCAGGCTGCTGAGGTACTACTGCCCTTTCTCCTGTCCTTCAAGCAACTGCACAAGCTGGGCAGAAGTAAGGATGGCTTCCACCAAGAAACTTCCACCCAGACAGCCACCCCACAGACAAAGGCTTAGACATGAAGTAACCAGGAACAGACAGAGCCCTCGCTGGCTCTGAGAACAGACAGAACTTGGTGTAGTTAAGAGCACCTGAAACACTTGCCAAGTTGGAGTGAGAAACAGCAGCTCGTGACTAACAGCTAGCAGACTGTCAAGTTCAGCAGCTAATAAAGCTTAAGTCAGAGAGGGACAGGGGGAGGCTTTGACTATCCCTAGCTAGGTCAGCACATAACCAGGACATTTCTCTGGTTGACCAGGGAACATGCATAGAGCATCTGGGCTCTCCATTACTTTCCTGATGGTCTAGAGAACTAACCCACATCACAGTAGTTACTCAGCCCTTGTCTAGTCTTTGCCACAGACCTGTAAAAAACCGACACAAGAGAGTTCTTGGAAACTCCCACTGCTCTAAAGAGTTCCAATTTTCCTAAATTTCACACTTGTCCTCAATTTCTCACATCTCTGTAATCCTCCTGAATAAAGCTTGCTTCCACTTTGCATGATGCTCATGGTACCATGTCTTCAGTCTTTACTAGTGTGAGACAAGGAACTCAGAGCCAGCATCCCAGGCCTTTTAGATCATGTACAACTGTTCTGTTGCCCCCAACACTCTGCATCAGCAGTATCCTTAAATAATTTTGTATTGTACCATTGCAAGTCCAAGCAAAACTGGACAGAATACATCAATAAAAATCAAGGAAAGAAAAACACCCTGTTACCTTAGCTTTCCTTTCCCGGTCGGCTGGAGTGTCTGTCCAGGCAGACCGGTCTCCGGATTTGTCATCAGCTCTTCTCTTAAAGGTTCTTGGTCCAAGACCAAAGTCTTTCATTTCCGGAGGAAGCTCAGTCATCCATGACTCTCTTGTGATGAGTTTAGATGAATCCTGTGTGAGAAGTAAAGTTAAACACAAAGCAGTAAGTCCAGTGTGGTGGCTCACACCTTTAATCCCAGCACTCAGGAGGCAGAGGCAGGGGGATCTCTGTGAGTTCCAGGCCAGCTGGTCTATAGAGCGAGTCCAGGACAGCCAAGGCTACACAGAGAAACCCTGTCTTGAAAAATAAACAAACCAAAAGAACAAAAAAGCCAAAGCAGCTGTGCACGGTGGCACACAGAGGCAAGCAGATTTCTGTGTTCAAGGGCAGTGTTGGCTACATAGTAAGCCAGCACTACAAATGAGACTCTGTCTCAAAACAAAATCCCCATACAAACAAAGCTATAAATAAACATAAATGTATGTATGTATAATACACACTTTCCCTCAACTTCTCCTATCTCTCTGCACATTCTCTGCTACTTCCTAGGGGGTGGAGAGTTGGCTCAGAGGTTAACAGCTCTTGCTGTTCTTGCAGAGGATGCAGGTTCAGTTCTTAGCACCCACATGGTGGCTCACAACCGTCTGTAACTCTAGTTCCAGGTGATCTGACTCCCTCTTCTAACCTCCTCAGACACCAGGTGTATACTTGGTGCACATGCATACATACAGGCAAAACACTCATATACATAAAATCAATCAATTTTTTAAAAAGCCTTTGAATACTTACATCATCTCCTTTGGTCAATTTTTCCTTCATTCTCTGGGCCCTTTTTTCAAACTCTGCCGTTACGCTATAGTTACTAGGTCCTTTTGCAGGCATTGGTCCAACAATACCCTCATCTTCACTGCTCTCTGCTTCCTTTTAAAACAAGACAGCATCTTTAATCTAAGAAGAGACCGATTATCTTAAACTACTTGGAATTGAGCTGAAATGGATTACACACAAACAATAAAGCAAACAAAAATACATTGCTAGCACATCATCAACAGTGAGCTTTCCCTTGGTTCCCTTGGAGAGGATAGCTTCACAGCTATGGACTACCTCATGTCTCTTCCTGCATCACCGGAGACCTCATTATATCATTCCTATTTGTTTCTGTTCTCTTTCTCCCTCCCCCTCCCTTCTTCTCTCCCTCTTTTGTGTTGCTGGTAGGAACCAGGTTTTGTATGCAAGGGCTCTCCTACTGAGTCACTTGTCCAAGCTTTCAACCCTCTGATTGATGGACGGAGATCTGGCCTTCAAATCCCTTCTGATATGGCGTTCCTGGTATTTACTACCAATTGGTCAGAAATAACATTTTTGAAACCTGTTTTGCTCTCTGTTCATGAAATGCCTCTTGGAATATGGCAAGTGAGTCAGGGTGTTACTATCAGCTTGTATGAAACAAGAATCCTGTGACAGCTCCCCAAACACGACTGGGATGTGTTAATACAGTTCCCAGCATTGATGACAGACTGCACAGACAAAACACTGTTGTGACACCTCTTGTTCTCTCTCTCTCTTTGATTTAACATTTCTTTGAGTGAGCTATCCCTTTCTCCTACCTCGTCTTCAGCACTCGAGATTCTCTTTCCCATGTCTTGTACTCTGTTGGTGAGGCTTAACTCTGAGGTTTTTGTTTGACATCCTAAATTTTTCATTTCCAGTTTTATTTCACTTTGAACTTTCTTTAGAGTAATTCTATTTCTTCATTAAATTCTGCTTCCAAGTCTTGAATTGTTTTCGCTATTTCATTCAACTATTTGTATTTTCAAACTTCATTGAGGGATTTATTCATACCCTTTTTAAGGTCCTTGAGTCTATCCACAATTGCTATCTTAAGGGCCTTGTCTTGTGCTTCAGCTATACTGCATTTTTCAGGGCCTGCTGTAATAAGGTTACTGGCTTCTGGAGGAGGCGAGTTGTCTTGACTGTTCATGTTTGTGTTTTTGTACTAAGATCTAGGTGTCACGTTTGAGGTATTTCTTGGTGTCTGTCTCAGGTCCTGTCATTGTTGGGTGGGTTTTCTGTTCTCTGGCTGCTGTTGCCCTTCCTGTTGCAAATCAAGCAAGGTGGCTGTAGGTCCCTGGTACACATGCCTCTGTATGTTGATGGGTGAAGAAAAGAATGTAGATGGGCTGGGAGGAAAGGCCGAGAGGGTCTGTGGTCAAGAGCTAGGGGGACTGGGGTCCACATGAAGAGACAGAATCCACAGGGAATGTAGGTGGGTAGCAGAGGGGCTCCTGAAGCAGGCTGCTACCTACAGAACGAACATCAGGTCTGGACAGATCCTTATGGAGGACAGGATGGACAGTGAAAATCACTAAGTCCCAGCCCAATGTGGGCACTGAGGGCCACAGTAGGTGGTAGCGGCCATGAAGGAGTGGAGATGGGCTAGAACTGCATCATGTTCTGAAGTTGGCTGGGAACCACACCTACGCTATGCACACAAGCCAGCGTCTCCACTAAGAGACGTAAACGCTGACCTTCTGTGCAGCAGGGTTGCTTGAGACGCTGACTGCTCTCTTGGTTGGCAGTGTATCTTTTCTTAATAAACTCTCTCTGCTACTGATGCACCTGTGTCTATGCTCACTTCCTTGTCTGGATCACAAGGACCTGCAACTCCTTTGGCGATGTCTACTGAGCCCTAGTATCTATGATAGCAACTTTATTTGAAAACACGATAGAAGTTATGCACCATTCTAGGCCATTTTCCACAGCCCTAGCTCTTTTTGTTTTATTTTTGTGGTAACAGTTCTTACCACTCTATTGTAGAAGAACCTTTACCATTTGCCCTCTTTGGAACCATGAAACTGGGGGAAAACTTGTATAATTCAAAGCCATCCAGTTTGGTCTGGCTAGTACTAACTTGACAGGCTTAGGCATGAGCATGTTATACAATTTTGGTCAAATGTGGATAGAGAGCCTACAGGAAACTTTCAGGAAGGCTTCCCTTCCTCTACCAGAGGTGAAGGCATCCATTCACCTTCAGCATCTGGACACTGGGAACTGCATGTCAATGTGAAGACTTTGGCAAGTGTAAGGGGTATAAAGAAAGCAATCATCTGAAGGGGGATTAGCATGCCTAAGAAGACAGGAAAAAAAGATGAAAAAAATGGAGATTATGTTGTTAAATTACCCAATCTCAGACTGATCTTACTTCTAGACCTCTTATGTATCGAACACACTTTCTTTGCTTTTAGAAAGCAAAGTGTGCACCACTGTGATGGTTAGCTTTGACTGTCACTGTCAATATGACATAATGTAGAATCACCTGGGAAGTCTCAGTCAGGAACTGGCAAAATCAGGTTGGCCTATGGGCACGAATGTGAAAGAAGGGTTATCTAGATGATGTTAACTGAGGCAGGAAGAGACACCCACTGTGGGTGGCACCATTCCCTAGGCAGAGGATCTTTATTGTGTAGCAGTTTCCTCCAAAGTTAAAACCTTCCACCTTATCAGGGAATTTAAGACAGGGAGTAAAAAGAATTGAAAATATCAGCCTTCAAAGGCAAGGCGCACAAACCGTAACACCTGACAGTCTTGTTTTGCTAAGAGTTACCAGGTGCGAGAACAGCTTCTGTTTTATCTCCGGGTGTTCTATTCTCAGAGTAAGCGACAGTGTGTTAAGAGAATCATTTGGAGTCTTCTCTCTCATGTGAACCACATGATTACAGATACCATTCAGGTTCTGTGTTTGTTATACATTTCAGTCTTTAAGTGAAAACTTTCCAAACCTCTGAGTTGAAGAATGATGACACTTGTCCTGGATCCTCTCTGCCTCTGTCACTTTTCTGTGGAGACTTAATGAAACCAGGTGGCAATGCAGGACCTATCATAGGCCTGAAAAGAAAATATACTATCATTATTCTCTCATGACTTTAAAGGCTGTTTTCAGAATAAAAGTTCACAATCATAAGAAAGTCAGCCAATAACAAATATTGAAAGTAAGAATTTTTGGAGCATTATATTCACTAGTATTAATAGTTTCTTACTAAGTGCTTAAAAACTTAATTTTTTGCACCTGTTATTTTCTACTTCACTTTAAATGAAAAATATTTTCATTTCTTTATAGGAATGTGTGTGCATATGGAGGTCAGAGGACAACTTTAGGAAATGGGTTCTCTTTGTGAAACCGGGGATTGAACTCAGTCTCTCAGACTCGCCAACCAGATTCTACAGTAAGATGTTTTTGATAGGCCTGTACTCATGAGGATATTTTCCATCTTGTGCTCTGACTTCCATTCTGTTTTGGTATTTGCTATCTACTGAAGAATTCCACTGGGCCTTGTAATTACAGTCAGGGCTACTTAAGTAGGAAGTGTGTTTTTCTAAGGACCGCTACAGCAGGTACACAGAACAGATGCCAGCAGTCAGGGGCAGTGCACCACAGCAGTGCAAGCCTGCGCACAGTCCTTGCTAATAATCCAGTGATGATGCAGGGGCAGCGAGGAATGCAGCTGGTCCACTGTGCCCTGCAGATGGAGGAGACGGTGCGGTGCCAATCACAGCTCACTGGGTGCATGTTTCTAGTTCCACATATGCCACTGTACTTTGCGAAGAATTAATAGCCAACTCAACACAGCCAGTAGAAGTGAAGCTGGAGTCTAAGCCCTGGACCGTTTGGTGTCAAATTTCATGATTTTTAAGAGTTGCCTTCTCAGGCAACTGTCATCAATACGAGAGAACTGCCTCAATCCCGAGCCTTTTGTAGAAAGGAAAACCTACTGTCCTCTCACGTCATACCTTCAGTTCCTTTATCCAGTGTTTTCCTCAGGGTTCTCCCTGGTCAGTGTCACCTACCCAGATGCCACTGAGGCCCTAAGCTGGATTTCCACGTGGTATCTTATTGACTTAGAGCCTCCCTGACAGGCTTCGTGGCAGAGGGGAAACAGTACTGAGAGTCGATGGATCTGACCACTTAATAATCTCCTCTTGCTTCAGGAACCAAGACGAGTATAACAGTTTTTTATATGAATGCATACAGCTACAGACTGGCAGAAAGATCCAATTAACTGCCATTTACAAGCTACAAGGAAATGTTAGAAGTTTTCTTTTTTTCTAAGTATATTTCTTCCCAGGGCTACACAGACATTAATTGTTCGATTTTATGACTTTAGAATTTGTGGAGATAAAATTTGTGGTATAAGCTTAGAAGACAGTAAATATATTGGGCCAATGAGAAAGCTCAGTGGGTAAAGGCTCTTGCAGACAAGCTGAGGACCTGAGTTCAATCCCTGGGACTCAGAGAGTAAAGGGGGAGAATCAAGTCCCACAAGTAGTCCTGTGACTGCCACCTGTTCAGTGATGTCATATGTGTGTCCCCCATGAACAAATCAAATAATAAATATTTAAACAGAATTATATAAATATATATAAAATGTAAGACAGCCATGGCATTCTACAGTTGTATCAGAGATTTTTTACTTCAATGTATACTAGTATTTATTTCACACATGGACTTCAATGTCCAAAATATTCTTTTCTTTTTTTTTTTTTTCACTTTTTAAAACTGAAAATAGATTTTTTTTTTCCCCATATAATATATTCTGATTACGGTTTCCCTTCCCTCAATTCCACTTAGATCCTTCCGGCCTCTCTACCCACCAAAATCTACACCATATCTTTCTCTCTCATTAGAAAACAGGCATTTAAAAATAAAACAAACAAAGCAGAATATGATAAAACAAATAGAAAAAAAAAAGAGTCAAAAGAGAAAGCACAAGAAACACATCTGGATATAGATTTGCTCACAGAATTCTCATAAAAACACAAGATCAGAAACCATCATGTATGAGCAGAAGACCTGTAAGGTAAAGAGAACGCCCAGACCAAAATGTAATTTTCAAGAAAGGAGCTGCGGCAGATTAAGTACACTATGAGTACAGCTTGTCCAAAATGCCTGGACATGAGCATTTCAAACTTCAGATTCTGGACTATTTATAGATGCATGGTGAGAAACCTTGGGGAAGGGGTCTCAAGTCTAGATATAAAATGCATTGCATTTCATATACACCTTTTGCAAATAGCCTAAAGGCAATTGTAGATGATATTCTACCTGATAACTATATACATAAAACAAGGTTTGTACATACTAAATAGCAGACTTGTGGTATCATGCTGGCTTCACTCAAAGGCTAGGATTTGGAAGCATTCTGGATTGTAGATTTTGAGGTGAGTGATGGTTCATCTATAATGGGTTCTTCTGAAGGAAGGTTATATCCCAGGGGACAGCAGCTTATCTATAAAGGCTAGAAGCAGGTCCTAACTTTTATGCTTTGAGACTAGCATCTGTGTACCTGGATCACTGGTGCTACTTTCAAAATGTAAAAAGCATTCTTTGTTTAGGAATGCCACAAAATGGCAGTAGACTGTGTAGCCCTGCTATACCTAAAAGAAACAGAGTTACATGGAAATTAGGTATTGACACATAAAGTCCTAAACTCTGAATACAAAAAGAAACAGCCACCTCTTCTACATACTCTTACATACAGGCATGCATGGAATATGTATTATATTAGTAAATTGTCATGTGCTCCTTAAGCTCCCCGAGAAGGGGTTCTGGATGTGGGTCCCACTTCAAAACCAAGCGTGTTTGTCTCCAAGACCCCTTGTTCAGAGACAGGCTGGCTCCCAGCCCTATGAGACAGGGAAAGGAGAACAGAAAACATGCCTCTCTCTCAACCCCCCAAAAAAGTCACGAGCCTGAGTCCAGGAGAGCAAATCAGTTGGGTAGAAACATGGCTCTAGAACACAGCTTCACAGTGAGGCCTGCCCAAAACCTTCCAAGAGCAGAAGACCCTGCTACTGTTTGCCAGGGTATAAAAATGCACGTTGTGGGAATGGCTAGTTGAAGTCTTACCCAGGAGCAGACTTTCTGTTTCTCTTTGTCTGTCAGGGGCTCTAGCTGTTTTCCCAGTGCTTTTCCAGTCATTTCTGCTGGATGAAGTGAGTGCCTGCCTTGATGTTCTACTGTGTATCTGCTGTTTGAGTCTTCTAGTCTCTGTTGCTACATACTAATAAATTTGTTCATTCAAAACTAAAAGGATGGCTATCATGGGTCAGTCTCTGTATAAAACAATATAATATTCTGAACTTTGGCGGAAGTTGAGTGTGGTGGTGCACACCTTTAATCCCAGAACTCAGGGAGGCAGAGGCAGGTGGATTACTGTGAGTTCAAGACCAGCCTAGTCTATCTACAAAGTGAGTCCAGGACAGCCAATGCTACACAGAGAAAGCTTGTCTCAAAAAACAAAAACAAAATAGTTGAAACATTATACATTATCACCTTGGAGGAGAGTCATCCTGCTTCTTAAACCCAGGAGGAAGGGCTGGCCCAAAAAACCCATCATCATCATCATCATCATCATCTCTTTCTTGGTTTCTCCTCTGCTTTCTGAAAACAAAATGTATCATTACATTAAGTTAAAGATACGTTAAATTTTTATAAAAAGCTTTAATTTTGAAAGAAAAGATTAACTTTAAGTAGATATCTAAACACTGAAACACTAAAGTCATCCTGTCAAAACAAAACAACAGCAAGCCCTAGATGGCAGTGCATTACAACAGTTCTTAATCTTTTGCTGGAGTTTATCCTCAGTTTCTTATTTACCAGGACTAGATCAGTATTCTGTATCTTGTGGAGAATTCAAGACTCCACTAAGTGAAAGATCTCAGCAGTCTGTGCGGCCCTTTCTTAGTGAAATGCATGAGTTCAGCTTTTATTTTCCCTCTCAGAAGCACTGTTAAGTTGCCTTTTCTGTCTCATAATCTTGAAAGGGCATAAAAACCTTATTAATCTGTAAAAAAACAAAGGTTCAACTTATCTACCTGACCCATGGTTCATAAGGCTAGATTAGAAGGGAATCATTTATATAAACAGAACATCCCGCTGCATATCAATTTAAAAAAGAACGTCTATGCGATTACTTATAGTATTTAGTTATTTCAATGACACGTTAAGGAAACCCTCTTATATATAATCTTATTGGGCTAGAGATGTAGCTCAATGGTAGACAGTCTGCCTATCTTGCTCAAAGCCATAGGTTTGATTCCCTAGCACCATGTACACAGACTATTAATTCATTAATTCACCCATTTACTTTAAGCATCTCTATATGCACACACTACTAGAATACGCTGTTTTTTATTTTTATTTTATTGTTTTGGAGACAGGCTCTCACTATGTAGCCCTGGCTAGCCTCTAACTCACATGGATCAGCTGGCTCTGCCGCTGGCGTGCTGGGATTAAAGGTGGGTACCACCTCACCCAATTGCAATAAGCTTCTTTATAGAAGATTTTGTGAAATGCCACAGGAGGTGACCTCTTTCCTGTGCTGCACAAATCCAAATACAGGGTTCTAGTAGCCACGGGTTCCAGCCAACTTAGGAGAGGTGTGAAGCTTGGTTCGCTGTCTAAGTTAGTGATTTACCTTGCGGTTGGACCAGTGTCATCTTCTTCAGACAAAGAACTGCTGTCCTCGTCACTGTCTGAGGAGTCCGAACTGCTGCTTCTGTAGTCAGGGGGCAAAGCTGGCCCTGCGACTGTACAAGGTCAGATGAGTATGTTATGGCTCTTTTACCAAGTCCTCCTAGCTGGAGTTTTCTTTCCAGACACAGCTGGCTAGCGTTTACTATGGACTTTTATTTTCTAAATATTCATCTACCAACTCTCCACCCATCAGGGACAGAGAAAATACTTCTAAAGAAACAAACATGAAAAAAGTTCTGCTACTGAAAAGTTAAAACTTGTCTGTGTGGACTGGTGAAGAAAGGTCACTCTGACAAGGCATTTGGGTGACACAGTGGCCATACAGCAATTCACAAGAACATGCTAGACAGAGGAAAGAGTCAGCAGAAAAGAACAAGCTATGCACTCTCCTGAACCACCTGATGCTTGAGGCTGAAGAGGTTCGTATGTCTAACACAAAGGAGGGCAAGGCTGTAAGCTTTGGAGATGAATTCTTTGGCTTTGAATTTGTACTTCGCCACTTACTCACTACGGGAGTTGTGAGAGTTAGCTTAATCTGCCTGTGTTACTTTGTTTAAGCCCCGGATCATGAGTCCTGACAAGAAGGAAACACTGAAGAATTGTATACAGATAAGCCCTGAGGACATTATGAAAAGTGCAACAGTTACAGGAACTCCCGACTGTTTGATCCCCTCCTCCAAGGGTACTTAGAACAGCTCATTCATCACACAGAACAGCAAATGCTAGGAGCTGTGGGCAGGGAGGGATAGGGGTTTTGTTCAACATACTTCAGTTCACGAGAAGAGCTTTAGAGATGGATGGACAGTGGTGGCTATGTAAACAGTATGAATGCCACTGAAATGCATGCTTTCAAATGGCTAATGTAGTACAGCCAATGAACATTTTATGAGAACATGTAAGAAAAATGCTAGTGTTTTAGTTAGGGTGTCTATTGCTGTGACGAAACACCATGACCAAAAGCTTGTGTCAAGATGACAAAAAAGACCACCAACCAGCATAGCATCTGTACATCTGTGTTTGTTGATACCTTAGTCACAGTAGAGAGGAAATGAAGCTAGCCTAAATGTCCATCAACAGATAAATGGACAGCAGAAATATGGTATAAAATATACAATGGGATTATTGTATATTCAACTGTATTATTGTGGATTATTGTGGATTCAGCTGTAAAGAAAAATGAAATCAGGAAAGTTTCAGGAAAATGGTTGTAATAAGAAAACATTCTACAGTGAGGTAACCCAGTTTCAGAGGCAAATACCCTGTGTCCTCTCTGATAGTTGCAGTCTAGCTTATAATTTTCGTGTATGTGTATAGAAGTGGGGCAAGTATGGACATAGGCCATGAAACTAGAGAGGAGACCACAAGGGGTTAAAAGTGGTATTGAAGGATCGGGGACATACAGGCAAAACAAAGGGGAAAGGAGGTTACGGGAGATGAGTGAAAGTCTAAGAGGGTTGGGGTGGGGGAGTGGAAAGAAAAATTAACAAAAATTTTATTTATTTAGAAAATGCCATAATTAGGGGTCTTGACAGATGGCTCAACCAACAGTTAAGAATGTACACTGCAGAGCGCCCAAGTTTGGGTCTCAGTACCCACATCAGGAGGCTCACAACTGCCTGTAACTACAGCTTCAAGATATTCCACAACCTCTAGCCTCCTCAGGTACCTGCATTCACATGCACATGGCGCCCCCCCGAATATAAATAATGCAACCTAATGCTTTGTATGCTAACTTTAAAAACTCTACAAGACAATACGACAAACAATTTAATAGGAAATGACCAAGACTTTATCAGAGCACAGTGGTAAAAAAATAACCAAAGAATAAGAAAAGTGGTCCATTTCATTTCCCACAAGGAAATGCAAATTAAAACTACGATGAAAATATGGCTTCAAAACACTAGATGGCAAAGACAGAGAGAAATGATTAGGGAAGGCACAGAACAATCAGAATTCCCATACTTGCTGAGGACTTTAGTAAACTGGTTTAATTCTGAAGCTGAGGGTGTATGTATGTGTGTGTGTGTGTGTGTGTATATATATATATATATAACTAATACATTAATATGTTGTTAATATACGTTATTAATATTTTGTAATATATTATTGCTTATATATTACTTGTATTGTTAATAAGTAATATTACATATAATGTAGTGAACTCTTTGTAAGTTAAAAACCGGAATCTATTCAAATGTCTGTCACCAGTAAAATGGGTAAATGAACTGCAGGGGATTTACCCAATAGAATTCATTCACTCATACGTTTTCAACTTTAATTGCATGGAAACTTTCTTGCTAACAAAGAATAAAGGGGATTTTTAAAAAAAAAAATGGCTACACTAGAAACAAGGGCTGGAAAGAAGACTCTGGTGGAGGCACGATCTCTGGGTAGCCAGAAAATCAGATTTAGAAAGAGTTGGATTATTCCTTCACTTTTGTTTTTTTTTTTTTTTTTTCTAAACTATAATCACTCCCAGCCTTCAATACACAATTGGAATACACAATAAATACAGAAAAGCATGACAGAGTGTGGCCTGCCTCTGCATGTTAAGGTTACAAGACATAGTGAAATGAAAACTGACAGGTCAACAAGTGACTGGAATAGATGTGTTAAATAAGACGTGACAATGCTCAAGAAGGTGACTCTTAAAACTAGGATTTGAAGGATGTGTTAGAGTTGTCAGGCATATAAGTACAACAAGTGCGGCCAAAAGGAAGCCTGTCTTCAAGGAAGCATAAACTTGGACTGTGTGAGCACTGGAGTGCGTGTGTGAGCCGGAACGATAGAATAAAAGGCCAGGAAGTCAGGCCGGGGAGGAGAGAGGCACTCGATCTTCGGCAGGCGTCTTCTAAGTTCGAAGGTATACAGATACGAAGTTCTGATTTGGGCTTCATCAGACTAGCCGTCCTCATTTCCTACGGAGGGTGGGATTTTCTTACTGATGGGGAGGGGGCTAAACAGACGACCGGACGAAGACTGGCCAGGTAGCACAGTCCACTGCAAACTGGGGCTGTATCGCCGTTTTAAGGATGCTGGTCAAGCCCCTAACACTCCCGCGTGCCCCGCAGGGCTGGCCGCGCCCCCTCCGCCGTGACGGCGGGCGCCCGCTGCGGCTTACCCGGGCTCGGGTCCCGCTCCTCGTCCTCGGCGGTCGCGTGCTCCTTGAAGCCTGGCGGCAGTGCCGGCCCAATCAGGTCCCTGGCCATTCGCTGCGACGCACGGTCGCTCGGAGCCCAAGCCGACCTGCACACGCAGTTCAGTTAAACCCAGCGGGGACGGCGGGCCGAGCCCCGCAGCCGCAAGTTTTTCCGGCCCCGTCTGATGACGCAACCCGCGCTCGGCTCTCGGGGCCGGACTGCCGTAACGGAAGTGACGCTTAATGTTAGTTCCACACTTGCACTTTTGGGGCACCGTGCGCGCTAGCTGCGATGGCAGAGCCGGCCCCCGCGGCGTGGCCTTCAGCCCCGGAGCTGACTCCGGCGCTGGGGACCACGAGCGAGGCTGCCCCTGCGCGGGACAACTGGGTGTTCTGGGCCATGCTGCCGCCGCCGCCACCTCCTCTGTCGTCGCCGGCCGCGCGGTCCGAGCCGAGCCAGCCGGGGCAGCCCCACGTGCAGACTCAGCCTCTCCCCGGAACGCTTCCCCCGTTCGATGCTCAGATTCTCCCCGCGGCGCAGCCCCCTTTCGATGCCCAGGCCCCGCAGGATGTCCAGCCTCAGTTCGGCGGCCAGCCGGTCTGGAATTATCCAAGCTCGACGCCCTGGTACTGGGGGCTGTCTCCTAATGGTTTTCCCACCTACCACACGCCCTACCACCCTCCGGGTAAGCTGCTCTTCCTTCCCTCTCCCAGCTTTCCCTTTGCATCTTTCAGCTCTGCCCTGTGTTTTTGGGAGGCCGGTAATGAGTACTCAAAAGTGTGTCCCACTAGAAGGTTTTCCTCTACCTGTTTATTCAGAGTTGATTAGTTCAACCCAACTATATACTGGGGTATATACTTACATAGCAATCAGCAAAACATACAAAAAAAAATCCTTTCCTTTTGGGGGCTGCCTTTCTTCCCAGTGTAGGAGGACAGAGTACAGGGAAGAAAACTGAGTTAGAAAGTGATGATTGTATATATGTATTAGAAATACATATATTTGGTAGGGGCTGGAGAAATGGCTTGGCGGCGAGGACAGCGCTCAGTTCTCAACACCCACATTGGGCAGCTTTCAACCGCCTACCTTAATGCCCTCCCTGGGGACCTGCACTCAGATGCTACCTACGCATTTTTTTCTTTTGCTTTAAGGAAGAAAAAAAAAAGTGGTTAATAAATGAATGTACATTTGAATCTTACGTGAATCTATCTTTCCTTTTTTTAGTTACACATTCTTATTATCCACGAACACATGATGCAAAATTCAGTGACTTCAGTTTTCCTCAAAACAGAAAACAGAGAAAGAAGGTATTTCTGAGATGATGAACGCCGTGTTTGGATCTTTATAGTACTGCTTTGAATCTTTTTTTAACTGTCAGTGTTTCGCGTCTGTTTGGGGCATGTGTAGCTTTAGTACGGTAGGATTTTTAAGAAGCTGTAAATAAAAAGTGGAAGCAACCTCATTTTGAAAAATAATGATGAAATTTATAGAAAAAAGAGAGAACATTAAAACTGTCTCGGTACACAAACGTAGTTGAGAATTATGCTTCCTAATACATGTAAATATGAAACGTCGGTGAAGCTTTAAAACAGTTGTTCTCAACCTGGGGATCGAATGACCCTTTTATGGGTTACATATCAGCTGTCCTGAGTATGAGATGTTTATTTTACGATTCATAACAGTAGCAAAATTACAGTTATGAAGCAGCAACAAAAATAATTTCATGGTTGGGAATGTCACCAGGACATGAGCTCCTATGCTAACGTGTCTCAGCATTAGGAAGGTTCAGAAACACTGTTCAAAAAATTGTGAAGATTGAGACTGACAGCTGGAATTTTAGGAGAAGACTGGAAGTCCCAGGTTTTTCTTATTGAGTTGGAAGCACAAACAAATTGTAGTGACACATCTTTTATTTTTCATAATCTTGCTGCTTTTTAGCATAGAAGAATCATTCCGTGATATAAAAGCAGATCCTCTTTTTTTTTTTTTTTTTTTTTTTTTCTTGTTAAACTCAGTTAAGCTACAATCTAATGTTTCAAATTAGGATAGTTTATAATCACCCAAGCTATGCGTTTACTGCCTTAAATTCAGATAGGATTTACTGTGTTGTTAGGTTGTTTGTCCTGGTTGTAAGTGTTCCATCTTTTCAGAGGTGGGTATTTGTCGTTGCTACGAAAGCCTTTTCCTTGCTTTCTTTCTTTTTGTTGGGGGTGGGTTCATATGTGGAGAGAACAGCTTGCAGGTGTCAGTGCTACCTACCATGTGGGTTCTAGGGATTGACCGCAGGTCCTAAGGCTTGGCAGCGGGTGCTTTTACCTGCTGAGGCATCTCTGGCCTGAAAGCCATTTTTTCAAGTGAGAAATAATGCCTGGTTGTACTTCCCAATCCAAGTAGTGTATTAAAATAGGTTTTCTTTATTCTGGTTTGAACCTAACCTACAGGTCAGGTTTCTTCTTTGTGTAAGTCACACAGTTAGTCTAGAGTAAGTCAAGTACTGTCTAAAACATGAAATTAGTGTTCTTATACTGTGGAAACTATGTAACTCGTACTATTAGTGTTATAGGAGTAGCGTATACCTATTAACAGTCCATTTAATATTAACAGTTATGTAATATTTAAAAGATGGAGATTATTTCCTATGTCAGTTTCTAATCTGGTAATATCCTTTGTGACAGGCAAGGTACTTTTAGATCTTGACAGATGCTGTACCAAATCTTCATTAGGTCTCCAGCTTGAAATCTATTTGTAGTTTGTATGAGCTCTTTTTACATTTAGATTTTGCTTGTTGTGCCTGACTTTTGCTATATTGATAGAAAAAATTAAGGAGCCCACTCCCACCCCATGGATATGTTTCAAAACAAATCAAATATGTATTCCTGGAATAGTTGCATTTGGTAAAACAGATTTCCCACCACAGTCTGATAGCTTCTTTTTCTTTGCAGAAAAAAAAGGAACCGGTTTTCCACTTTTTCTGTGATACCTGTGATCGTGGCTTTAAAAATCAAGAAAAGTATGACATACACATGTCTGAACATACAAAAGTAGGTTTTCCCAGTTATTCTGACCTGATGTAGAAATGGTCTTTATATGTATTTTGGGTGAAAGTACTAAGCTTATTTTCCTCATAAGTTAGTTGTTACAGAAAGAAATGTTTGATGACTTGACACATGGGCACAATGTGTGGAATTTGGAGTTTGGGGGTGGGCTTCATGGAAAAGTGGCAGTCTTTGCTCCTCCGTGGGTGCATGAGAGAAGGCAGCTGTGCCGCCCCTGCAGTTGCTCTGGACATCTGGGTGCTTTCTGTCTAGAGCTGTCTTGACCTTCGGCTGTGACGCGTCATAGCTTGCTGCCCTCTAAATATAATACAGATAGCAAATGATTTCTAAAATGCTAAGCCATTTAGAATGCTTGAGAGGTTTTCTTTTTGTTTTTGTTTTTGTTTTTTTAAGGAAAATTCTTGTTTTGGAAACATTGATTTGCAGGCATGCCTCTCACCATAAGAATTAGGAACTAAAGTTTTAGTTTCACTCAAATGGAGGAGGAAATGGGGAGAGTGGCTGTTTCACTCCTGTGGAGGATGCCATTCCTTCCTGAGTACAGCTCTGCTTCAGAGTGTTCTCTGTCTTGCTGCTGGCCTGAGAATTGTTAGCAGACCAGCGTCTGTAGACCTGGTGGTGTAGATCATTAAATTGTCCTTCTGTTGTTAAACTTTTCAGTGCCCTGAAGTAGATTGCTCTTTTAGTGCGCATGAGAAGATTGTCCAGTTCCATTGGAAAAATGTAAGTTCTTCCAGCCTTTTACAACCCTTTTTAAATGTGTTCTCTGTGTATGCTAATAATAAGTAATATTTATACAGTGTTTGGTGCTTTTTAAGGGAGTTTTACATCTCCTACTCTATGTTAGTCTCAAACCATGCGAAATAGCTTAGTATTAGCTCCTCCTCACAGACTGAACGAATGATCTGCTGTTCCGAACCCATTCTTACACTCGCAAGTTGTATGCTGGTTTTACCATACCATGACTCTTAAAATGGTCGTGTCTATGGCTTTTGACGAGATGGCTCAGCAGTCAAGAGCTCGTACTGCCCTTCCAGAAGACTCAAGTTCTGTTCCCAGTACCCACATTGGACAGTATACAACTGCCTGTAACTCCTGCTTCGGGGATTCAGGGTGTCTAAGGACACGTGGGAAAGGACTTGGGCAAAAATGATCATGGCTACTCATTTCTTTAACTGTTTTTTTGGTAAGTTGGTTGCTTGGGTATTTAATGTCAGTTGAGAAAATGGGTTATACATCTATGTAGTAAAAATTAGGCTGCTTTCCCCCATAAAGCACTAATGTGGCTACATAAGCTATGGCTGCTTTTCTTTAAAGATAAGTTAGAGTGGGAATGATAGCTTAAGATACTTTCTGCTTGTAAGTTTAATGTTGGACACAATGTCATGTTTAGTTAAATGCCTACAGTGTACTCCCTGATGTTCAGCAGGCTTTCTGCCCCTAGATGCATGCTCCTGGTATGAAGAAGATCAAACTGGACACTCCAGAGGAGATTGCAAGATGGAGGGAAGAAAGAAGAAAGTGAGTAAGGAGCTGTGAACTGATAAATTTTTCTTTTCCTGTCGCAGGACTGGGTGTTGCAACATAATGGCCAGCCCGGCTCTGATGAATATGAAAGGAAAAATATCTTTTATGACATTGTAGGCATTCCACTGAAGGTGACTGAACTTGATTTTGCGTTCTTCAATAGTGCTACATTGGGACTGAGAGTAGTGTTAGTCAATGGTTTAAAAATAAACATCTTTAGTAGTTAGTGAAGTTCATTGAGTTATTTTGTAATGTTAACACAAAGAAAGAGAACTGTGACCTACATTATACGAAGCTATTGAATGTAGTTTGGGGAGAGTCATGGAACTTTCCATTTAAACACAGATGTGGCACAAAGGGACTGTATACCCTGTAGATGTTCAGTGGCTGGGGAGACAGTGGGCTTGAATTGATACTTAAAATGTTTAATACATTGCTATATTTACTTCTGTTTGAACACACAGCCGAATGCCTGTTCACAGTTAGGCATAGTGGGTACAGAAATGAATAAGACACACATGTTTGTGTCCTTGGCCTGTGATTAATGTTTAATGTGAGCCTGACTGTGTAACTTGTGGCTTTGCATCTACCAGCACAGATGGCATAGCTGGTGCCTGCCTGCAGTGTATTTGTGAAAAATCTGCCTGGAGCTCTATTTTGCTGTGTTCTCACACATTTGGTCATGCAGCAGAAGGCTGGGAAGCTATTAGAATAAGACACACTTTGAGAATCAATTACTTGTCTTAGTTTTTTTCTGCTGGAGGAAAGTTTAGTTTGGCTTATGGCTCCAGAAAGCAAGAACTGTATGGTGGCAGGCAGCTGCAGCAGGAAGCTGGCTGATTTGTTGATAACCTGGAAACAGTGTGAGTTAGAAGTGGGGCGAGGCTGCCAGCCTTGAAAGTCAGCTGTCAGTGACACGCTTTGTCCAGTGAGGAAGGCTCCATAGTGCGAACGCTCCATGACCTCTTCAACAGTGCCGCAGTTGGGCCAAGGGTTTACTTACTACTTTAGGAGGACATTCCCAATCAAACCACCACAGTGCTGTTTTCCTAGGATTAACGAAGTAAGGAAAGTCAGATAAAACAAGAGGTCATTCGTTTTATATTTGATTTTGTAGCCTTGGGGTTGCTCTTACCAGACAAATGTTCTGCCACTGTGCTGCGGTCCCTAGCGGAACCCAATTTAGATTTTTTTAATTATTATTTCATGTGTCTGAGTGTTTTGCTGGTATGTCTGCCTGTGTACCACGTGTGTGCTCAGTGTCTGAGGAGGCCAGAAAAAGGCCTTGGATCCTCTGGAACTGAGTTACCCATGGTTGTGAGCCACCTTGTATTTGTTGGGAATTGAACCTGGGCCCTCTGGAAGAGCAGCCGGTGTTCTTAACCATCTCTTCATCCTGACAGCTCAGGCTGTTGTTGACTCACTCAGTAGCCCAGGCTGTGTTTGAAATCCTGATCCTCTTTTCTCATCCGAGGATTCTAGGCCTTGGCCCGCCAGCCCACCAAGAAGTTAGTCTTAGAGTCTGAGAAAGATGCTTGAAACGCTTACCTATAGAGCACATCCTGTGTGGCTTTTATACAGCTACATTTTATTTTTCTTATGACATCACTCTTCAAATATGTGGAATTTGTTTTTTCTTTGCTTGTTTTTGTTGTTATGTGCTGGTTAGGCCCTTATTATTTTGTATAGAAGGGTAAACAGTATTGACTGCTGTCTGACACTCGGGGTTGGAAAGCTCACTGCAGCAATACTCAAGGTGGTTCCCTGCTTGCTGGGATGGAAAGGACCTGTAGGCACTAGCTTTTCCTCTGCTGTAGTCTGGTCACCTGGGGGTTGCTAGTCCAGTTAGTTCATTTCCTTTATAATGTTTAATTTTTTTGAAAATGGCTTCCTGTCCATAACCAACCTTTGCTGTGAATTCCCATCTCCCTTCACATCAGCCTCAGCAGTATCTGAGCTTTCTTGTTCCATTGTCCTTCTCTCACCTGCAGGACCTCAGCTCTGGCTCCGTCACTAAGTCCTTTTCAGAAAGCCCAACACCTGTGTTATACGCTGCAGGTGAACAGGTGGTGCTCACTGACTGGAGAGACTGCTTGATTAGTGAGAACATCAGTGTTTTCTTTATTTGGTTCCCCTGTGGTAGAGAGGGAGATGTTCATTTTATAGTTGTTACTCAGTTATAACAGTGACCTGTACTGTACAATTAAACATTTGTCAAGCTCATCTTCTTTTAGCTAAAGTGCTGAAACTCTTACAATTGGTAGTCAGGATTCTAAGTGTGGGCTTGATTCACGTTATTTCTACATTATTTCTGAGCTTTTGGAATCAGGTAGACTTTGTCTCATAAACGTTTTTAGACCCTTTGATTACTTTGTGGTTGGGGGGGGGTTGCTATTTTTTCCTTTTTGTTTTTCTGTTTCAAGATGACTCTCTTACTAAATAAATAAATAACCTGGCTTCTGGAACTCACTATGTAGACCTGGCTAGTCTCCCAACTTGTGGCAATCCTCCTGCCTCAGCTTCCCAGCTGTTGGGATCACAAGCTTGTGTCAGCAAGCCCCGCTAAACTCCTGACTCGTTAGTTTTGTCGTGATGATGCTCCTGTCACAGAGGTGGACCTTCTGCATCCCTGACTTCCACCAGTGCTCCTGGCTCTTTTGGGGTCATTTTACTCGTCCTTGAGTCTACAGGCAAGCCTTGCCTGTCTTTAAATATGGTGCTGTGTCCAGTGTTATCCTATTGGAGAACTGTTTTGCATTTTGTTTTCTTGACTAGGTTAAGTATTGGAGAGCTAAGGACATCTTTTGCATGGCTGTATATGTCACCTGGTGCCACAGATAGAAGTGGTGCATGTGATAAATGTAAATGGGGTTTGAATTATTTTATTAGTGATATAAGTCTCTTTCAGTACACAAGAAAGCACTTGGAGAAACCTTGTAGTCTTGTGTGTAAGGCATGTTTTGATCAATACCTACATTTCAGAGAAGGTTGGTCAGAATGTGTTGCACTGAACCATAGTCGTGATTTGAAATCAGTAATCTATCTCATACTTAAACTAAGTGATATTGTTCTTTTTAGGTGTGTGTGTGCTTTCTCCCCTTCCACCATGTGGGTTCCTGGGATTGAACTCAGGTTGTCAGGCCCAGTGGCAAGTGCCTTTACCCTCTGAGCCATCCTGTTGGCTCACTGCTGTGGTTTTCGATATCAGATTTCACCAAGGCAAACCATCAATCTGTTTAAAAGCCTGCATCCTTTTCTCTCTATGACGGTGAACTTTGCCCCCTTGTGGTCTACACAGCAAGTGATTCAAGGAAAAACAGTCTCTGGTGGAACCAGTGATTTTTCAGGTGCTAACAGAAGGTCTTAGACCATGTGTTCATTGAAACTGTGTTTTTTACTAATTTCTTGGTAATAGTTTATCTTGAACTAGAAGAAAACATTTCTTTTTAAACTTGTTTTACACTTTTATTTGTATGTATGTGTGTATGTATGTATGTGGGTGTGCACATGCCATGGCAAGTGTGTGGAGGTCAGAGGGCAACTTAAGGGAGTTTAGTTCTTTCCTTCCACCATATGTGCTCCAGGAATTGAGATCAGGTCATGAGACCTGGCCACAAGTGCTGTTATCAACTCACCTTTCTCATAAGCCAGCATTTTGTAATTGCAAAGTTAAACATTTTGCTGTTTATGGCTGAGATCACCAAAACCAGAGACTTTCACTCTAATGGGAAATGTGAATAAATAGGTGTCTAGAAAGCCGTGTTCAGTTGGAACACTAACTTTAGCAAATGGGCATCATAATGCTTAGCCAAAGGATGCTTTTCTTATCGAGGGGGTCCTTGGAAAGCAGTGCCATCAGTTTGTTTGGAAAGGCTTGCTATGAAAAGTGACCCACTCCCACCCCACACTTACGGTATAATACACATGGGAAGTGATTCCCTCTTTTTAACAGTTAACGAACCGTGTCACAAGTAGGCATAGACCAGTGTTCCATCCTGCCTCGCCCAGGTGAATCGTGCCTTATATTCATGACTGGCGTCCTCTACCGCTTAGCATTTGCTCATCGTTGTTTCAAGTCACATAAGTGGCATCATGCAACGTGTTGACTTCTGAGGTGCGGAAGTCACACATGTTGGGTGTGGTAATAGCTAATTCTCATTTCCGGGTACTTTACTGTTCCATTGTATGGCTATATAAAGCACAGTTGTTTCTTCATTTCCAAGTTGGGAATGGAGTCCAGTATTTGACATACCTGAAACCTCCATAACCATTCATGGATGAGTTTGTGCCTTGAATATAGCTTTTATTTGCATTGGATAAGGGTCTGGGGGTGGTGTCGTGTGGTCATGTAATGAGTGTTCACTTCAAAGGAAACTGCCAAACCCAATTGGGAAGAGGTTTGCGCTCAAGCTGTCCTGGTTGACCAGGGGAAGGATCTGGCTGAAGGAGTTTCATCAGTTCCCATGTACTCCAGAGAATAGTAGCCTTGCCTCCACGGCTTTCTGCAAAGTGGCCCACCATTCCTGGTAAAGAATAAGTTCAAAACACTGTTACTGCCGTTGGCACCATTGAGCAAGCTGTTTGTTACTGCTCTTCAGTGCCTTGCTCCGATTTTGCCTGAGAGAAGGTTGGCATCTGTCGTCATATCACTCCCTCATTCTAGACAGACAGGCAAAGAAAACAACCTAGTTTTCAGTTTTTCATTAGGAAAGCAATAGGTGTGTTTCAGCTTTAGGTTTCCACACAGACTTTGTCTAGAAGCAGGTTGCTTGGTCACCTTTAGTCGTAGTGGAGTTGGAATGTCCCCAAACAGAACTGCCAAGAGGAAGAATCTGCAGCTGTTTGTGACTGTGCTTAATGGCACAGTTTTAAGCTGGTTGTTTCAAAACTGTGAGTGGAGTTTGGAGGTGGCCCCATCCTCTTGAGTAAAGGAGCGCTGGAGTGAGATTTCCTGTCCTTACTGGTGATTTTCCTCACATAGAACAGGTGTATCTGGTTCTGGTTTCCAGAGTGTAGGATGCAAGTACTCGGTGACCATCGTCAGAAGTGCTGAAAAGGAACGGGCACAAGATGTTGAGGATGAAGTGGAATCACAGACTTTGAGCCTGAGAGATGCCGAGAGAGAGGACATTGGAGTGGCAGTTTTGGGTGAAGTTTATTTGTACCTGTGAAGTTGCCTTGTTTGTAAGTGTTCTGGAAGTATCTTTTAGCACCTTTTAATTCATCTGTGGTTCTTTCACATCTTATTTCTCGGGTTCTTGTCCCTTCACATACTCAAGTGTTGGTGATATTTTCATTAGCAGGGTATGGGAGCTGGGTGTGGGGGTGTCTGTCTGTAGACCTGGCATGCAGGAGGCTGAGGTGGGATCTCTGACCGTGTGCTGGTCTGCCTGTAAATAAAGCAGACCTTTTCGAGAAAGGGGGAAGTGGCGTGGGTTGTCAGGAAAGAAGGAATGTGGGAAGTATTGTGTATTTTGGTTCATTTAATAGATTTCTAAGACATATAGTCTATCGTTAAGCAGTTCTTAAAAATTTGGAATTATATAGTTCTAGGAACCTACTCTCCATATATTTTTAATGTGTATTTTTAAAGAACTGAAGGATTTTAGTGTTTATTTTGTTTTATGTGTGTGGCATCTGGCCTGCATGCACGTTGTGTACACTTGCATGCCTAGCGTCCACAGAGGCCGGATCAGATGAGGGTGTTGGATCCCCTGGGCCTGGAGTTGCGGTAGGTTGAGCCCTAGGTGAATGTGAAGAACTAGCTCTGGGTTTTCCAGCCCCACTCGCTTATCTTGAAATTTCCATCGTATGCGTTCATAGAACACGCCACTGGGTTACATGTACGAGTATGTATTTTGCATTGCTTCAGTCTCAGCTTTTGAAGAGTGTACCCTAAAAGCAGTGAGTTCTCCATTGGTACAACAAAATGCTTTTATGCTGAACGTTACTGTTCTTGTGAAAGCTGTTCTGGAGAAATTCTAGAGTGCTAATATCACTGTAGCCTTTCTGCTAGACAGCCCGTGAAAGAGTCCCCAGACTCGGATTTAAAGACAGGAAAAAAAATACATCTTTGCCTTTATTCCTTCATCTTTATTTAAGTTTTTCAGATTAGCCAAAGTTGGAGGGGTCCAATGTGTTTAAAAACTAATACTTCCCTGAAGATAGCAAAAAAAAAGGTGATTCTTCAACCCTGGGCTGTGAGGCCCTGCCCCAGGGCAGAAGTCCACTAGGTGGCGCTGTTTCTTTTAGTGCTCCCTCTGGTGCTCCCAGCTCATGCAAACTTCGTGTCTGCCTCTCAATAATGGTGTATCTTTCTGACGTTCAGAAAGACTTTGAAATTAAAATACAGTATCAGAGGCTTGTGTCAGAGAAGTTTTGTATTGAGAGAAAAGAGGGATTGTGCTCTATAGAGAATAGGCCTAGGAGAAAAAGTCAATAAAGAATAGTAATTTGAGTACTAGGAAGAAGTTGGATCATGCATGCAGAGGTAATGGTTGGCATCGTGTCACCCCGTAGTGGTCTGTACCTGTAAGGACATCGCTGGAAACCCAGGGCATAAGCAGGGACAAGTCAGAGGTGAGAAACACAAGGACAGGAGGCAGAAATGACTGATGTCAGGACTAATCCATTTGGGAAACAGAGAAAAAGAAATTCAAGGAGGAAGGATGATTATAGATTAAACACACACACACAGGCTGAAGAGATGGCTCAGAGGTTAAGAACATTGGTTGTCCTTCCAAAGGTCCTAAGTTCAATTCCCAGCAACCACATGGTGGCTTATAACATCTCTAGTGAGATCTGGTGCTCTCTTCTGGCCAATAGGTAGAACATTGTATAAATAATAAATAAATAAGTAAATCTTTTTGAAAGAGAGAAGGAAAGACAAAAAAAATTTAAAAAAAACACAAGGGCTGGAGAGATGGCTCAGTGGTTAAGAGCACTGTCTGCTCTTCCAAAAGACCCGGGTTCAATTCCCAGCACCCACATGGCAGCTCACAACTGTCTGTACCACCAATTCCAAGGAATCTGACACCTTCACACTAACACACATAAAATAAAATTAAATAAATTAAAAAAAAAACAAAACACATACACAGGGCAGGAGAGATGGCTTAGCAGTTGGGAATACTGGCTGTTCTTGCAGAGGATCCAGGTTCAATTCCCAACAACTGTCTGCATGCAGGCAAAATACCAGTGTACCTAAAATAAAAACAAAACATATATTTAAACAGGCACAGAAGGGTGCGGAAAGCCTCTCCGTTCTCTGTGTAGCTCCCCAGTGCTGTCTTCCAGCTGGAGACAGTGCACTGAGCCACCCGTGCATGGAGCTGCGTACTCTTGGAACTAATTTTTTCACAGTAACGTTTGTGTTTGTCACGTGGTCTCTAGGTAGCTGAACTGTCCCCTTTGCGTAGCTCTGAGGTTGGTGCCTAGCCTCCCCAGCGCCTGTGGGCATCCTCACCCACTTCTTGCCATTCCTGCTTCACTGTGTCCTGTCTGCAGATGGAGGCCAGCTGCCGACCACCCTCGCTTCAGGCTGTTTTATTATCACCTCCTCTTTTACAGGCTGCCAGCTTTCTACAGAGGTTTCAGTTTTTACCCTCTTAATCATCTCTGAGTCTCTCTGAGTCCCTTCCCAGTTTTATTTTCCTTGACATTGCTTTTCCACCAATCTGACACACGCCCTGACAGTGTTGAACACATGCTCAGACAGTGTCTGAGCATCAGGGGAGAGCTCACACTCATCCAAGGGCCAAGAGGATACTTTGCATAGCCTTAGGTCATGTGTGCTTTTTGCAAGTATGTGTTGCTGACTGCTATCAGATTCTCATCTTGTATGACCTTGCTCTTTTCCTGTTACGCTTATTTATAGCACGTGCAGTCATCTCTTATTTACAGATGTTATTTATGGCTGGTACATGCTTTGCACTGTCCTTACTGAAATTCATTGCCTTTTCCCCCTGATTCTTTCACCATTAGGGGCTGGAGAGATGGCTCAGAGGTTAAGAGCACTGGCTGTTCTTCCAAAGGTCCTGAGTTCAATTCCCAGCAACCATATGGTGGCTCACAACCATCTATAACAACATCTGGTGCCCTCTTCTGGTGTGCAGGCAGAATACCATATGAATAATAAATATTAAAAAAAAAAAAAAAAACAAATTGATTCTTTCACCATTAACCAAAGCCATTTCCATTCTTCTCTCCAGTGTGACTGACCCATAGGCGTCATTTCACATGCTCTTTGAGTTAATAACGCAGATAGGTTCGTTAGTTTAGTGATGCTAATGGTTGAATCTAGGGCATGTGCATTCTCCCTCCGAGCTATAGCCCAGTCCAGTAGAGAAGTACCTTGGAAAATGTGGCAGAACTTTTTTTTTCTTTCTTTCTTTTTTTTTTTTTACTGATGAGTCCCAGCCTGAGTGGCGAGAGCCGTGTTCCCCTTTCATGTTTTGTATACTATGAAGATTTGTGTCTCTCATTGCCCAATTTTAGGACTGGCATCTCTATACATCATGTGCCAAGAAACTGATATAATCTTACTCATAACCATGTGCATGTCTGGAACTTTTTTTTTCTTCCTTCTTTCTTTCTTTCTTTCTTTCTTTCTTTCTTTCTTTCTTTCTTTCTTTCTCTCTCTCTCCCTCCTTCCTCTTTCTTTCTTTCTTTCTTTCTTTCTTTCTTTCTTTCTTTCTTTCTTTCTTTCTTTCTTTCTGCCTTTCTTTCTTCTTGCCTTTCTTTTTTGTTGTTGTTGTTGTTGTTTTTTCCCCCCCCAGACAGGGTATCTCTGTATAGCCCTGGCTATCTTGGAACTCACTATGTAAACCAAGCTTGCCTCAAACTCAGAGATCTGTCTGCCTCTGCCTCCTGAGTGCTGGGATTAAAGGTGTGTGCCACTGTATCCAGCAAATTGATTTATTTCATGTGCTTGAATGTCTTGCCGGCATGTATGTCTCTGTACCATGTGTGTACCTTTTGCCCAGGGAGGTCAGAAGAGGGTGTTGGGTCTTTTGAAAAATGGAGTTAGTTGTGAGCCACTAGATGAATGCTGGGAATTGAACCTGGGTCCTTTGAAGAACAGTCAGTGCTCTTAACTACTAAGCCATCTCTCCAGCCCTCTAGAACTTTTCTGTGGTTTGCTCTCACCTATTAGATTGTATACAAACTTTGTAGGTGTGTCTTGGGTTGAGCCTCCTCTAGTACTTCAGTTTGCTGTAGTTAAATTATGTTCCATACAGAATAATCCTGCATCTTTCTGTGAACTTGAGCTGTTGGTATTACTTGGCTTACTTAGAGCAAACTCCAAAGCTTACCACCTGAGCACTGTCTGCTAGCACCATTTCAGACCACTTGGTTTCAGGTCCCTTTCTTTGTGGATTTCATGTTGAAATATCTTGGTCCACCCAAGAAAAAAATGTACTCTCCTGGGTGCTTAACTCTGTTTTGTCTTAGGTACAGCTGTTCCTTAAGCTCTCTCTAGCCTCCTTAGTAGACTTGTTTGAGAACTCTCTCTTATCCTGGTGACCTTGTGTGCATGGCATATATCTGCAGAAGGAATTGGCTGGGCCGGTTGTTTCTTTACGTGTGGGTACACGATAAACAGATGGAGAGAAGTTTGCATGTGCTGTATGAACTGTGCCATTGAAATTCTAGTATACATCCTTTACCTGATTGCAGATTTGTGTTGACAGCTGTAACACTGACTCATAAACTGCATTTTTCTCAAATTGGAGAAGTAGTTGAAAGTTTCTAATAATTTTTGTTATTTCTTTTCTAGAAACTACCCAACTTTGGCCAATATTGAAAGGAAGAAAAAGTTACAACTCGAAAAGGAGAAAAGAGGAGAAGTGTTGACAACGACACAGTATGGGTGAGTTCCTTGAGGTTGTTTGCGTAGGCATTCTCAGTGCTCTTTAAAAGCACGTGCTTCCGGGTAAGAAAGGAAACATGCTAGTGTCTTCAGATCCCTGTATCACCCATTCTCAAATCTCCTTCTAGAATTTTTACCTTAAAAATTTTTAAGGCCAGGTGTGGTGGTACATACCTGTAATCCCAGCACTCTGGAGGCAGAGGAAGGTGGACCTCTTGAGTTTAAAGCCAGCCTGATCTACAGAGTGGGTTCCAAGACAGCCAGGGCTACACAGATTCCTGTCTCAAAAAAAAAAAAGAGTTTTAAGTTGTATCTTAAAATACTGTTACCCTCTACACATGTGACCTGTTCTGAACAAGCCCTTCCAGTCCTTGTCTTCACTCAGTCTTCCCTGAGACCCTTCTTTACAGCACAGGGAGGAGAGGACAGTGTCTACCGTGGGTCACACCGGGCTGCCCTCTGCTTCTTCAGACAACCGAGATCTTACCTGGAGATTGTTCGTTTTGTGGATATGTAGGAAGCATAGTCAAGGATGTCCCACGGGATTGTTCAGTCGGTTCCCTGTTGGCATTCAAGCATCTAGCCAGTTGCTTACTAATGAAAAGTGGATCTGCATACACGCTGACCCATGCTCTCCTGTCCGTAAGCTGGGCTCTCCTTTCCCCTACTCTCACTTTTTTGTTCAGAATTTTCTATTTTGTTTTTACTGGCCTTACAGTTGAATTATACAATCAACCTCTCTCTCTCTCTCTCTCTCTCTCTCTCTCTCTCTCTCACACACACACACACACACACTCACACACACACACACACACTCATACACTATACATATCCACATGCTACCACATGGATTGATACACAGGAAGTCTTTATTTCACCAGGCTCCCTTAAGTCCTATCCTGTTCAGTTTTTCCCCATAAGTGATAACCCTGTTTTGGGTTTTTATTATCATAAATTATTTCTGTTCTTAAAATTATGTAAATGAAATCATACACTTTGCATTGTTGAATAAATTTGATTTCTGTGTCTCAGAATTATTTTGTGAGCTACATCCATGCTCTATACAGTTGTAAATTCATTCATACTATTATATAGAACTCGATTGTGGCAAGACATGGTATTCTATTGGTAAATAAAGGCTTCTTTTCAGTTTGGGTGTTACGGTTCAAATCTCTATAAATATTTCTTGCACGTGTCTCTTGTGAACATTAATGTTCATTTTCTTTTTTTATATAACGTGGTACATTATAGGTTCTCTATATGATTAGCTTAATAGTTTAACAAATGTTGAACTGATTCTGCTCATTGCTTCTGATTTCTCTGTCCCACGGTGCTTGGTAAAGTCACTAACAATATTGATCATCTTATTAAGGTGGCTATTCTTTCGTTGAAATGCCGCTTCAAGTGTTTGACTATTTCTAATTGTTTTTTTTTTTTTTTTCCTTGTGTGTTTTTGTTTTATTTTTTTTTTTCTAATTATGGGGGGAGGGCTGAATTGTGTATATAAGTGTAGTGCCTGAGGAGGCTATAAGAGGGTGTAAGATCCCAGTGTGGGTAGTGGGAACTGAAGCCCAGTCCTCAGGAAGGGGAGCAGGTGCTCCTAACCACAAAGCCTCCTCTCCAGTCTCGAAGGCTTGCTGTCCTTGATTTTCAGGAATTATATACTTGGTTGCACGCATATTGTCTTGGAGTGGCTTGTATACATTATAGATGTACTTCTTAATTTCTCTTGCCTTTATGTTCTTAATGGTGTCCTTTAAACAGGAAGTACTTGTCACCAGCATTTGGGGTCAGGTTAGTGTCAGGCACATCTGCTTGTCATGGCACAGCTCAGTATGGTTCAGGACTGGGTGCTAATGACTGCAGTCCCTAAATGCTTGCTATTTAGGTGCTCTGCACTTTTGTATCCATTCCTCAGACGTCATTCTCCTGCTCACAGGGCGTCCTTGAATGTTTCCAGCAGAGGGTCTGCTGAAGGAGGCTCATACTTGTAAATGTTTTTGCAAACCCTGAAGCACCTTAAAAATGAGTGCTTTAAAAAAAAAAGAAAAGAAAAGAAAAATGAGTGCTTTTTAATTAATAAGAACACTGTGCTTTGTGTGCAGTATGAGAATGCCGCCAGCTGAGAAGACCTGCCAATGATGGCACAACACAGCCCTATTTCAGGGCTCAGAATACTCGTGGACACGCACAGCTGGAAATGAATGAGATTTATGCTGAGCAGTGTGGGCCTTTAAAGTTCCACTATAGATGTCTCTTATCTTTGGGTATTTCTTTTATGGTTCCTTTAATGTCTTAGGGTCTAACTGGTCAAATTAACATTTGTTTCTTTTGTTCCATTTTTTTTTTTCTTATTCCAGCAAAATGAAGGGCATGTCCAGACATTCACAGATGGCCAAGATCAGAAGTCCTGGTAAACATCATAAATGGAAAAGTGCCGGGGCTAGACAGAGAACAGTCACTGGACTAGGCAATCGTGCCAGAGAGCCAAAGCCTGAAGCTCCATCCAAGGTTATTGTAGACCCTCTCAGTGCTTTGATACACAGTGACTCTGGTAAGCTAAATAGGAAATAGCATAAACATTTGCCTGTTGAGTTAGATTGAAAAAGGATCTTGCAGTATTGGGTTACGTATAATGGGATAAAATTTAGGAGGAATGGTAATTAAAAAATTAAGCCCAACTAATACTTACTGAGTAAGGCACTTGCCATGCTCCACGAGCTTTGTGTGTGTTAACTCTTTCCTGTGCAAGGACCTTTGGTGCAGGTGGTGTTACGACTTCCATCTGGAGATAAGAACACAGACACTAAACAGTTTGTTGTCACACTGCCAGCTGGTGCAGAGCCTGAACTTGCCCCCAGGAGTCTGACTCCTAGCTCAGCACTATTACTGTACATGTACTCGAGGTGTAAGGGCTGAATTTATCTGAAAAACCCTGTGAGTGTAGGTGGGTGAAGATGGGGAGGTTGGCTGTAGCTCGGGGGAGGAGTGCTTGTTTGCTTGTCATGTGCAAAGACCTGGGTCAGTCCTTCCACCCCAGATAAAAGTAAAACAAATGCTCTTTCTCATCTTTGATAATACAAAAGGAAGGCAGCTTTTTGTTTGATTTTGTTTCGTTTTTATTTAAGGCGGGCTCTTAACTGTGTGGACCAGAATGGCCTCAGAATTTGGAGTGATCCTCTTCCTTAGCTTTTAAGAGCTGGGATTACAGGGGCGTGTGCTGTCAGGGAGAGCCCCTCCACCTGTGTGAGAGCAGCCCAGCTTCAGTATCTGACTGTTCCAGTTGTCAGTGGTGTTGACATGGAGATAGCACAGTCCAGAGCCACTCATGGCAGCTGCATGCTCACTCTAAAAGTCCTCAGGGTGGCACATGCCTTTAATCCTGACTCAAGAAGCAGTGGCAGGTGGGTCTTGACTAGCCTGGTCCATATAGGGAGTTCCAGGCCAATTAGAACTACCCAGTGGGACCCCGTCTCCAAAAACAGAAAAAGAAGAACATTTTAAAATCGTAGGCCTCAGGTTATTGTGTAATTCAAATACTGATTTCTGTATCCTCTATATCTGGTTGCAAGCCTTGTGCTGAAAAGGCTAATTTGGCTTCCTCCCAGCGTACATCCCAGAGATACTTGCACTTGAAAGCATCATTTCAGTCATTGGAGTCTCTAGATTTATCAGCTCAGTTATTGTGTTGTGAAGCTTATTAAACAAATATAATAGAATCTCAGTTATTTCTGTAATAGCTGGGTTAAGAGAAAAACTGAGAAATGAACACAGTTTTATAAAAATAATCTTAATGGGGCAGGAGAGATGGCTCAGAGGTTAAGAGCACAGACTGTTCTTCCAGAGGTCTTCAGTTCAATTCCTAGCAACCACATGGTAGCTCACAACCATCTATAATGAGATCTGGCACCCTCTTCTGGTGTGCAGGTGTACATGCAGACAGAACATTGTATACATAATAAATAAATAAATAAATCTTAAAAAATAACAATGTTGAACAGCAAAAGAAAAGTGAAAATAAGGTTCACCCACTTTCTTCCATCTTTTCCTTTTTCTGCATGTGAACTTAATCTGAACATCAGTGCTCATATTTTAAACAAGGTGGTGGTTCTGGTCTCAGATCTTGCCTGGGGAATCACTACCTAAATCACCAGTGCTGTGTGTGCTCTCAGTAGCTGCTCTGAACTAGGTGACAGCATTATTTCAGTCATTGGGGTCTCCAGATTTATCAGCTTTTACTATGTCAACTCCATGCTCTCTAATTTCCTTGTATATTCCACTTACTAGTCTACTTGAGGTCCTGTTTATTTTAGTCTCTTTGTGATATTCATATTTCTTTTGCTGTGATAAAATGCCATGACCAAGGCAACTTATAGAAGGAAGGAGATTTGAGGCCTATAGCTCCACAGAATTAGGGTTCATGATTCCAGAGCAGAGATAGCAAGTGGCAGGAGAAGCCACTGAAAGCTTATATCTCAGATCACAGGCATGAGTCAGGGAGACTTAACTCAAAAATGGCAAGAGTCTTTTGAAACTTCAGAGGCCACCCTCAGCAAAGCGACACCTCCTACCTAATTCTCCAGCCTGCTAAGGACCAAGAATTCAGATGCCCAAGACTTAAGAACATCTCATTCAAACCATCACATTCCACTGCCTGAACTGTGGCCACATGATAACACAAAATTTATGGAGTCCAACTTTAGAAGTTCCCAAAGACATTCAGTCTCAGCATTGCTGTCCTTCAAGCTCCTCCCAGGATGGCCTACTAACTTCTGTTTACACTCTGCAGCTGCTTTCCAGTCCAGAGCTGCAGAGCCTTCTGCATTCCTCCGAAAAGCCATATGTTTAGGTCTTTTGCAGTGGTGGCCCATTGCCAACGTTTGTATTATTTACTTTTCTGTTGTGGTAAAACAGCACATCCAAGGCAACTTACAGAAGGAAGGGTTTTTGTGTCTGTGTGTCTGCGTCTGCACACGCGCACTTACAGTTCCGAATGGATAGGTCCAGAGTGGAGGTAGTAGGTGGCAGGAGCAGCAGCTGAGAGCTCACATTTGGAACCACAAACACGAGGCAGGAAGACCTAACTTATTTCAAATGCCATGAATCTTTTGAAACCTCAAGCCCTTCACAGCAAGGTCAATTACCTCATCATCCCCAAACAACCAACAACTGGGGACTAAGTATTCAAATTTCTGAGACTTATGGGGACATCTCATTTAAACCACTAGTTAGGACCCAATTTGTTTTAAGTTTTGTAAAATAGATTTATTTATTTATACATTGTGTGAAAGTAGCTGTCAGTAAAGTGGCCTCCAACTTCTGTGCCCAAAAAACCTGTTGTCTAAAACAGACACCCTAACCTGTCTTTTGTCTCACAGATACAACTATTACCATAGAGTGCTGGGACAGCAATCCTGCCACTGGCATAAATTAGGTTGACTTCGTTCTGTAAATGGTAGATGTTAAAGTCATAAGAGTCATTAATTCAGGTGGTGGTTTGAATGAGAATGGTCCCTGAGGCTCATTTGTTTCAGTACTTGGTCTCCGGTTGATGGGACTGTTTGGGAAGGACTGGCTATGGCCTTATTGGAGGTGGTGTACTGCTGGGTGTAGGCTTTGAGGTTTCAAACTTTTTCTCTCTCCCATTCCCAGTTCTTTCTGCCTTATGCTCGTGGTTTGAAATTTGAGCTCTCAGCCTTTCCTGCAGCCATGCCTTCATTCCATCATCATGGACTCTAATCCTCTGTAAGCCCAATTAAATGCCTCCTTTCATAAGTTTGATTCGTCATGGTGTTTTAGTACAGCAACAGAAAAGTAACTAAAGTAGGGCTCATTCTTAAATTTCTTTCTTGAGAATATGCAAGTAAAGCAAAGTTCCCACATGGAAGTGCTATGTGCGGGATTTTTTTTTTTTTAAATATAATGCTTTTTCCCTCTATGGTGATCAACTCAAGGCCTTACGCATGCATGCATAATCTACCACTGAGCTACATTCTTTCATTTTCCTTAGCCAACTTAATTATAAATCTTGGGGCTAGAGAGTGGTAGTTTTGCTTCTAGAAGCAATGTCAAGTAGGAGGCTGAGCACCATGCATAGAAAGGAGCTGTAGAAAGAAACCAGATGGGATCTGCGAGGTGAAATTTTGACATACTAGTCAAGAAAAATGTTCCTATTTTCATTTCAAAGGGGATTTACGGGAGGCTGGAGAGGTGCTTAGTAAACATACCTAAAAGTGGTTGCTGCTCTTGCAGGGGGCCCAAGTTTGTTTTCCGGTGCCTGGGCACAGCCATGCATGTGGCGTACATACATATATGAAGACAAGACAGATGATCTTTAAAAGGAGAGAGGGGCCTGTGGGCCTTGCATTTTGCTTGCCAGCACTATAGTTGAAGACACAAAAGTAGGGATCTTAAAGAACTCTGTCCATGTTTTCAGGAAAGTGCTTTCTGAGTTTGAGGTGCCAGCAGCCCAGAGTAGCTTCAGAATGGGAGCTGCTCACCTTGACCTTCAGGGAAGGGAGAGATGCTGAAAGTTGAGTTACTCCCCAGTAGTCAGTCCGTGACCCATGCATGTACAACAGAGCCTCTCTGAACATCTAATAGGACAGAGTGCAGAGAGCTGAACATGTGGCAGTTTCAGAAAGAGTGTCAGGAAAGAGCATGGGCGTTTCATGTCCCTTCAACTGTGTGTCTCATAATAAGCTGGTGTTCGAGAGAAAAATAGGCAGGCATTGATGACAGGCTACTGGTCTAATTGTATTAAAAAAATTTTTTTTTCTTTTTTTTGTCAGTGAGAATATGCTTTACTCCAAAAAGGTGTTAATGCTTTAACAATAAGATTGTTTCAGTCAATATTGTGTGCTAACCCTGCAATGTGATTTCATGATCTTGGTTGGTAATGTGTTTTTCCTGTAATTTTTATTTCAAGAATAGGGTTTAGCTGCTTTATATGTTTTTAGGGCAGGTCATTATTTCTTGAGCATTTTATCTGTTGGTGCGGTGCCTTGACAGTCTTCAGGTTGGGTGCTAAAGATTTCTATGAGAACTGATTGGCAGGTCCCAGGGGCTTTGTAGAATAGCACCTCCCAAGCCCTCACTGTCTTATTTTTGAGATGATGTTATTGTAGAAGATTGGGAGGGGTAGTTTGGTTTTTGAGAGTGTTTCCTATTCTGTAGTCCAGGGTGTCCTTGAACTCACAGTTCTCCTGCCTCAGCCTCCTGAGTGCTGGAATCACGCATATGCACCACTATGCCTGGTATGCTTTCTCGTGCTGTTACTAGTGTGCACCTTAAATGAGTGAGAGGGAAAGAGCAACAGCTTCCACCCCTTATCTTCCGGGGAGTGGCCTTCCTGGTTCATCCAGCACTCAAGTTGTGAATTTCAAATACTTTTCTCCTGAAACCAGAATCTTCTAGAGAAATGGCAGTCCAGGGCCGAAAGGCACAGGGTCACCCTAGAGTAGCTCATTGTGTCATAACATTTTCTAGAAAATACGAAAGTATACCAGGCAGGTGTGGTAGCACGTTCCTGTGATCCCAACACTCAGGAGGCTGAGAGCCTGGGTTATACAGTAAAACCTTGTCTTCAATAAATAAGACAGCATAGGACGCAGTGGGACAAGACAGAGGGTGCTGTAAAGGATTTCAGGGACTGAAGTTGGAACAATGACAAAATAAGTAATAGTTATGTCCATCCCTCCCGAACATAAATATCCACGATTTAAATATACTGTTTTAATACGTATTTGAATAAATAAATATGAAAGAATGGGGTAGATACTTTTTTAAAAGTGTGTGTGTGTTTGTGTGCACACATTCAGACGCATGTGCCCAGCCCACAACAGCCAGAAGAGGTGGTTTGATCCCCTGGGACTGGAATTACAGGCAGTTGTGAGCCACCTTATATGGGTACTGGGAACCAAACCTCAAGTGTTCTTAACCAAGTATCCTTAACCTCTGAGCCATATCTCTAGCCCAAAGGACCGCTCTTTAAAGTGAATAATTACAGTACATATATATAGGAGAAAAAATGAGAGAAATACAAAATAACCACTTCAGTGCCTTCATAATCATTCTTTTAAAATAATTACATCACCTGTTCCTCGGGTACTCAGGTGCTTCCTTATTACGGTGCTTTTTACATGTCTCAAAAGTTACTTGGCACCTTTTGCTTGAGCGGATCACTCAGATTTGTGGACTAGTAGCTCATTTCAAGGAATGGAGTAATGAAGAAGAAAAGCCTAATGCTTTAAAAGTGGAGAAACTGGACGGATCACTGAGCAGTCAGTAAACATCATTAGTGATAAGTCAGTGCTGTCATGGACCTCTGGTGAGCCCCAGGGGGCTTATGCTTTGTGATAGTTGGCAATAAACCAAACAACAGTGGGGGTGGGGTCTTTCCTGGAACCCTAGAACTTAGGAAACTGAGCAGAATTGTAAAAGCCATATGATACCTCAGGTGATAAGACCTAAGTGAGATCGATCATGCTTTTATTTTTTTAATTTACTTATTTATTTTTATTTTGTGTGCATTGGTGTTTTGCCTACATGTGCGTCTCTGTAGAGGTGTCAGAACTCCTGGAACTGGAGTTACAGACAGTGGTGAGCTGCCATGTGGGTACTGGGAAATGAACCCAGGTCCTCTGGAAGAGCAACCAGTGCTCTTAGCTACTGAGCCGCCTCCTGCACCCCTTTTAAATAATATCTATCTATCTATCTATCTCTCTCTCTCTCTCTGTCTATCTATCTGTCTGTCTGTCTGTCTTTCTATCATTTACGTGTTCTCCCTGCCTGTATCTGAGGCAGTCAGAAGAGGGTGTTGGATCCCCTGGAACTGGAGTTACGGAGAGTGGTGAGCCACCATGTGGGTGCTGGGAACTGAATCCAGGTCCTCCAGAAGAACAGCCAGTGCTCTTGACCTCTGAGCCATCTTTCTAGTGAGATCATGCTTTTAAAGAATATAGCATTTGGCTGTTCCGTGTTTGCTCTCTTCCTTTAGGCCCTGGAAGTTTCTGTTGTCTGGTCTTGCTCGTTCAGACAGTGGAGGAACAGACTGGGTACTACCTTGTGGTGGAGTGGCTTAGTGTTCTCACACTGTGCATATAGAAATGCATGTTTTCCTTTCTTCTCATCAATAAAAAAATGAGGTGATCATCTGGCTTGAAAGAAGAATCATGAGACACTGTGAGCACATCAGTTAGCATCTGGTGGCTCTGCCTTCATCCCCCGTGTGCACCTCATGTGAAGATGCAAGGCAGTGTTCACATGAAGATATACCCGCATTTCCTAGTGACATATTTGGTTTCCCTAGACTGGCCTGGTGAACATTGAAAGCTCGGTCTTGAAATACTTCACGTTGGTTGTGGGCTGAATTAGTTCATTAAATAGACAAGTTACTTATTCTCTTCAATCCAGCCTTGTTTTTATGGCTCATCTAGATCAAAGTGCCAGAAATGAATGTAATAGGTGGTGTCCTGGGGCTACAGAGACACTTTCTGGGTACCATTAAACCCATTAGCTTAGGCAGGCTCTTCAGCACTTGCCAAATTCTTAGATTGGCTTGTTGAATTAGATTCTTAGAAGTTCTGGGCAGAGTCATTTCAATGAACTCTTTGACAAACTCCATAGAATGCTTTAAATATTTGATTTATTTAAATATGAAACAGTAAAAGTAGAATTTTTATATTTATTCCTAAATCTAATTTTCAGAGTTAATGATCGTGGCACAATAACTCTGAATGAATGTTTTGACTTTCCCACTACCTGTGAGTTAATTGAAGAGATTGTGTAATTAAGTTAATTTATGAGAGGCCAAATTCTATAACCTGAAAAGATGATAAGTTAGCTAGGCTGTGTACTAAATTTGTCCGTCTGTCTCCCGTGAAGTAAAGACTTTCTTAGCTTAAGATTTAAAAGAAGGACAAAGTTTTCAGCCCTCCTGGAATTGTTTTTTGGGAAAGATTAAAGAAATCATCAGAAATTACATTTCTTCTTTTCCTTACAGATGAGAAATTAGCTTTCTTTTCCATCATGGCAGACGTTCTGGGCCACGGTCTTAGAGTCACTTTTCTCTCCCCTTCTGTTGTAGAGTCTGATAAGGAAGAGAAACCACAAAGGACTATAGTGCCTAAGGAGGTGACTCCAGCCTTATGTTCGCTGATGAGCAGCTATGGCAGTGTTTCCGGGTCAGAGAGTGAACCAGAAGGTAAGGCAGGGCGTGGCTCCTTGTTGTTTTTGCCTTTGGTTCATGCTGGGCAGTGGTAGCATCCGACATGTGATGTACCCCATTTCAAGGCCCCTTGTCATAAGCACCTGCAAATGAATAGTGATCCCAGAACCCAGGAAGATCAAATGTTTATGATCATCTTCAGGTTCATCTTCAGGTTTATAGTGAGCTAGTGGCCAGCCTGGGCAAGTTATCTTACTTGGAATGCATGGTGGCTCTGAATTTGTGCTGCTTATATCAGCCCATTGCTTTAGTTTTCATTATTATATCTGTGTGTGTGTGTGTGTGTGTGTGTGTGTGTGTGTGTGTGTGTGTGTGTGTGTGT